GAATGTCTTGAGATGCAGGTCGCTTCTTGGACATAGCGGACTGCGTCCCACGCTTATCCCCCGAGGGAAACTCCGGCAGGTTACTAGCCGATGGCGGGTCGTCAGTCAACAGTTGACAGGGTATAATAGCTTCCCGATCTATTAGCCATGACTGAAGATTGTTTGCGAGATTTATCTGCCTTCCGTCTCAAAACAGAACATAAATATTTATCAAAGGCAGAAATTGGTAAATTAATACATAATTTACAACGAGAAACAATAGAACATGGAGTAATGCAACTAGGGCATTTTAAATGTGGATCGGTAGCGGAATAACGTAGTTTACAACCTGTGCAGATTCTCATTAACGTAAACTGCTGAACAAACACGGTGAACCGTGAATAAAACAGCAGAAACACGACTAATAATCAATGCAAGTTGAATAAGGATACTAGTTACACCTCTATAACTGAATATAAGAGGTACTAAACTAAATATAAATAAAGGATATAGTGTGTTGGGAGACACAGGCGCTCTCACGTCCAGCTCACTGGGCAAAGAAGGAGAGAGTGAGGCACATGGGTGGAGGTGGCGCCCTCGTTCCCGCGCTTGTGGAAGGGAGGTAACTCGTGGTGAGTACTAATGAGTGATTTTTTAATTGAAGGGAACTTCAATTGGGAGATACATGTGTTCCACTATGTTCGCAAGAAGAAGAAGACAAGCAATAAGCATTAAGCAATAAGCATGAGTCAGGATAAGGAAAAATTATTAATGTTCAAAATGGATCTAAATTTACGCAATAATGCTGCGAAAATAGGTATCGTGATATGTATCGAATCGTGATATGGGTATCGTGATACGTATCGATTCATGAAACTTATGTATAGTGACATCCCTACTGGACATGTCAGGCATGTTTGTACCGCTTCGGTCAATGTATTCTATTTATTAGGATTATTTCGAGGGGTTAGGTTTAGAGTTTAGGGTTAAGGTGAGGGACCTAATCCAATTAGTAGGTAGGTATCCGGTGTAATGCATGTGTACTGGTCAATCGTTGTTTATCCTTTCGCACTTTTAATACTTTTTTCACACAACAACGTTGAAAGTACACGATGAAATGGTTTAAAGTAGAAAATGTGGGATAATGGAAATTGGCCTGGAACTTGCACTAAGCCACTTTCACACGCTACATTTGTTCAGTAATGATTCGAAGGCTAACTCACCCTCTTGCCGTCACAAGACATGCTCCCTCATTCCTTAGTACAATCCACATTATCTTTACAATGTTCTTTACAACACTTTTTTGTCACAAAATCACCCTGTGATTTTTTTAAAGGGCCACTGATCCAGAGCAATTTCCATGGACTGGTTGTTATTTTGTTATTGTTTTTCTCTCGCGAGTACCCGGATGATATCACATAATTCTTCACTGGTTCGTGACGTATGCTGCGCTACTCGCATGCGCTATTGATAGTATAAGTATAGATTGATCAACAAAGACTAAATCTTTATTACTTGATATTTCCATCTTCATTAATTTGATAATAAATGAAAACGTTTTGAAGTTCAACCATCTGCCAGTGGTGAAAAATGTTAGGACTGAAAAGTAACGAAGTCAATGTACGTCCTTATATTTTGTCTTATAATCCTCATTAGTTTATTATTATATTTGTATGCATTTTGAAACCTAATAAAATGCACATGATATGCTTATACTTATTGTGAATGTATAACATGATTGTAATCAGGCCTACCAAAGAAAACTTTCCCACTGTGCAGAAAAGCAGAAAAGCCCACATTAATCGTGGAAATAGCAACATAAACATAATACCTGCGCTACTGAAACAGTGAAAGCGGCAACTTTAAATCGCTAACACTGCATCATAAAGCGAGGAGCCCATAACCGATTTTCGCATGCGCACATGGAAGAGGAAGTCTCGACCGCATGTTGACATTTTCCAGCTTGGACAAAAGTTACATTTCTTTTAAAGTATTTCTGTTGTGTTATTTGTCATTTATCATCATGATACTTGTGTGCACACTTGTTTAGTTTACTTTCCATCTGTATGAAACAACTGACAGCGATTATTTCGACATATTTAATACTTTTTCTTTTTCTGCGAGGCGATTCGCGGTTGCTTTTCGAAAGTGGAAAGAAGCCGGATCGTAATGCACATGCGCCAGTAGAGGTCAAAGTTAAGCTGATTACTATGAAAGCTATGAAAATGTTGCAGTTTCATAGTTTTTAGATTGCAGTTTTACTGTTTCAGTAGCGAGGTAATGTGTTTATGTTGCTATTTCCACGATTAATGTGCGCTTTTCTGCGTTTTTCTGCACAGTGGGAAAGTTTTCTTTGGTAGGCCTGATTGGTCACCCAAGATAGCACACCTGGCAACTAATTGCATGATGTCCGCCATTCTTTAACAAAGTAATTTAGATGGCCAATAATGAGCAATCAATCAAAGTATTGGCGGTTAATCCTTTGAAGGGAGGACGTTTTTACACAGGCACTTTGCGACAGGGTGTATTCAGTATAGATTAGTAAATCTACATAGGCTACATAAACACTACCTTTTGACAAATCCACTGTGCAAGAAAAAAGCAATTAATCAATCAGTGTGTTATCAATTAATCCTTTGATCGATGTTTGTTTTCGTAACTCAGCTGATAATCCCTCTGGCTGCACACAGTACATAAGATGTAATACATTTGCCACATCAGACCTTAATTTATATTCTTGAGTATTTACTCCAGACACGTGAAATGCCAAATGGGAACCTTTGTCAGGTAATCTGAGTGGTGTTACCACTAATTATACCTGTTATAAATTCTTTAACTGACCATTAAGTGAATGATGACAAATAACGTGGAGGTTTACCACCAAACACGAGTTACAGAAAGGGAGTAGTTATCGCTGTATTGCATGCAAGTTTGATTGCCTGACAAAAACTTACAGGCTGACACTGTTTTGAGGATACAAATGGAACTGCATTGTTGCTTAAGAAATACATATACGCATTTACTGTATATACCGTACCTATTTACCTAAGTAAATTTTTAGATTTTTCTAGAAATGGCAAGGTGGGGTTGTTTAGTTAACAGATTCAAAAACATCAAATGTGTGCTTTTAATATCATACCATAGGTAATAAACATAATATTTTTACATGACATGATTGAATATCGAGGTAAAAAACACAGAATTAGTATGAAATTGGATCAGTCATTATACCATCCAGGCATTAGAAAATCTGAAAATGTTTACACTGCTGGGATGCTTTATTACAGTAAGACAAGAACTACCGGGGATATTTTCAAATAACGGGCTTCCACCCTTCCTAATGTCATACAGAAGAAATTCTACCAAGGTGGACAGTAGCCCAGTCCCCGTGCCCGTCACGGTCGAGTGAGCAGGTACCGACCAGCCTGCAGCTTGGATTCATAATTAGACTGTTGGCGAGAAACATCAATCGCTCGGGATCAGTGGCCCTTTAAAAGCACATCATTCATGCATACCGTGAATTTGATGTCTGACACCTGATTTCAACAACTGTTTTCAGTTTGTATCACATCGGCCCATTCCACACAACACAGTATCTTGTAGATTACGGAAAGGCATCTATTGTCCATAGATTAAAATCACAAGAAACAAAGTCTTCTAAAACCTTGGTAATTGTCAGTGACCTATTTAACGCTTTCCGTTCATTTCCATAATGTTAATGGCTGGCGAACAGTTATCGCCATTTTTCAGCGTTTTTTCGCGATTTCCTCAGTAGATTCTCAACCTAATGAATTAAAAGTTCTCTAGATGAAAGATTAGCTATTCACCGATGTATCCTGCTTGTTTACAGTTGCCAATCGTGTTTTTCTATAACGCGGTCAACAGGAAGCGCGGTAGTACATATTGTGCTTTGCCAACAACTAACAGGATCAGTTATCGCCACTTTCGAATTGTTCATGTTATTTACCAAATATGACACATTTTTTTATGTGAAATTCAATAAAAAGCTATAAGAAATATTGCTTTGTAATTAAAAACACAAGTTTATTTGTCGGTCTAACTTTTGAGGATTTTTATGAAAGTTACACCCCCACTATGTGGATCACATGACATCCCCCCGACCCCGCTATTAAAATTTTAAGGAAAAACAAACTTTTGGGGATTGATTTGAATTTTGCTTCACTTACCATGGAAATATTTTGGGATATTCAAGATCATTTGGAAAATGCCGTTCGGAAAAACAACGAAATCGACACGATCAGATGTGCGCATGCGCTATAACGAGGAAGTGGCGATAACTGTTACGCAGCGATAACTGGTCGCCAGCCAGTACAGGAACGACTAGATAAATTTGCACTTTGTGTTATAGTGTGAACATAGCTCAGTTGGTTAGCTGTCGGGCCAACTATCTGCAGGTTGCGGATTCGCATCCGACGGAGTCTCACAAAACTGGTTGCTTGTCTTAGTGACACATGACCTACAACTGAGACTGTCCTCACAAGAAGTTGTGGCGCTAAATTCGGAGAGAGTTCCTTACGTATCCCCCGCCTATTTTATAAGGTACTTTTCATTACTTGTATATCTTTGTATTATTATTTTTTAAAAATAGGTGGGGGGTACCCGGGGTACGCAAGGAACTCTAAATAATAGTAGGGGCTAGAATGCACTTTACCGGGCGCAGCCCTCGCTGCTCCCATTATGAACCTTAGGGTTAGGGTTTAGGGTAAGGGTATGCCACCCTTTACGATTCTTAGGGTTAGGGTTAGGCACCCTTTACGATCCTTAGGGTTAATGTTTAGGGTTAGGAACCCTTTACGATCCTTAGGGTTAGGGTTAGGGAACCCCAGCAGCGCTAATTAATCTGAAAAAGTGCGCCCGGTAAAGTGCAGTACTCCCCTGGCTGGTAACAGGGACTCTGTTGGGGTTAGGGTTAGGGTGTGACTGAATGGTGTATGTTTTCTTTATCAGATGCAAACACTTACTGAAATTATTTAACGGTTGAAAATAATGCGCACTCTCACCTGTTTTATTCGTTGGGTAAGCTTTGGATCACTTATCCACGGTCCACTTTGGTGAGGACTCTTGTGACCTGGATTAGGTTTTATATCTGCGTGTTTTCTTTTCATGGCTATCACTGCCTGTGGGCTCTTGTCAACACTTACTGGTGGCAATGGCATTCACCCACGTGCAGAGTTATCGAAAATATTGGGAGTTAAGTCCCTTTGTTCACGGGGTCCAAAAGAGGTTGCGAATTATTTAGTGGATGTGTAGGATCGTCTTTTGCACAAAAGGGGTGTAAGTAATTGTAGTTTTATTGTGAAAGTACATTACTACGTATAAGATACGTTACGTTCTGTTAAGATATCGTCAGTATTGACCAAGCGACTCTTCATTATTTTGGCGTGTCCTGGTTATGGAGTTCCAAAACATCGCACCGTCCTGAATATTATTGCTTTTCCGCTTCCGGTATTTTTTTGTTGACAGACATGGATGCTATTTTTCACGAGAAGGTGTGTATTGTTATGCGTCATTTTGTGTGATAGTTTAATTGTATTTTTCATAGTTTGGTTCATTCTAGGTAAACCAAGAATAAATGAACATCATAGACTCAGAGAAATCTGTGGCTATATAACAATACTAACTGCAGTCTCTTCGTTTACATGTTCATTTCATGGTTTGTGATAGCGGTATATGCGTCACTGTATGTTATCATTATCATGATGTTTCTATAAAACATGAAAACACTGAAATTTGCTTTTATTTTACCTTCCAGCAAGAGGGATCTCTATGTGCACAGCATTGCCTCAATGGCCTACTTCAAGGCCAGTACTTCTCCCCTGTTGATCTGGCCCAGATAGCCCAGAGCCTTGATGAGAAGGAGAGAAGCTTCATGGCAGAAGGGGGACTGCACTCCGTAGAGTATCAGCAGTTCCTTGAGGTAGACACATCTTACTCTCAATAGTTATGAGACCCTTTGGCATGCTGGGACACAGTTTACTTATATTCTGCATCAAACTATGCATTTGTGTGAACTTAAAGTATATTTTTCTGCATCGCATAAAATCCAGCTTGTTGTATTGCAATAAAAATGGTGGATTATAGCAGTTCTACAGTTGACACTTTTCTGTGTGTTCACGTTGACATTCTATGAATGAGCAAGACTGTACAAGGCAGGTCAAATTTGTGATGCTGACCCAAACACTTCATCTCAGTAGAGTGGCACTATAAAACCAGCAATAAAATGGACAAATACAAGCAGATTCATAGGTATGCACACACATGCATGCACATTGCAATATAATAGCAATAATTAATTTATGGGATTTTAAACTTCATTTCACCTTACTTCGCTGTTAGCCCACATTGTTACTCAGAATTGTGAACAATGTTACTACATTGGTTGAATAAGGGGAGGGTCCTGAATGACTACAAACTGCAGTGAGTTGAGTGAATGAATGTTTTCTCTGTTGTGTGTTTGATGTTAAAAATGATTCTGTACACAAGGGAAAGTTCATCCAATGTCAAAGATTGAATACTGGAAGTAATGGAAACCATTTGCTTTTGAACTGTTATCAATATCACTATTTCTCTTTGAGATGAATCTCTCAACCATAAATATTGCTTTCAAAATTTCTGATAATTGATTAATTTCAGGTTTGTCCTTTTAATATTACAAAAATGGATATGTAATTTTGCACAGATAATTATATGGTTCAGTAATTCATTAGTCTATAATGCGCGGAACCAAAATAAATATATTGTGAATTTGATCTTGATTTTACTTCTTCTTTCCAAAATTGGTTGGTTTCCTGACATTCGCAATAAATATGACTAATGCACTTGGTGATCAACCACTGTGCACAAAACACACTCTTGCTAGTCAGCATGGACAATGACATGAATTTTATGTGAACTTATCACAATAGCTCAATATATATCCATCCATCGAGAGTAAGATATGTTCAGAAGTACAGTAGGTGTTACCTGAGGTTGTCGGGGTGTTGTACCCTTCTCCCTAGGCAATCTGTATATCTACTCTTATTCCGGGGATGATGTAGCTCATATGAATAGTCAAATATAAGTCCAATATGGTGTTCAAGTCCTGTTTATTTTTGAATGAATTCTTGCCCAAAGGTCCTCAGATATTCCCTAATTCTCCTGAATTACACACAACATTGGTTCACAAACTTCCTGGAAGAACTTGTTGGTTTCTTGTACAACTCCTAATACTATAAGTTCATCTGAGCCATTCTCTCAATATACAGAGAGAACCTTTCAAGACAACGGTGGGGCACAGAATCGCGCTCTGCTCCCTCGACTTGTGACAAAATAGGACGTCTGACAATTTTGGCTCCTCCCTCAGAAATAATGTCCTATGTCATACAAAAATGACTCATATCCCATCTTAATAATTAGTTAATTTCATTAGTCCCTTTCTGAGACTTTATTTGGTACCATCAATTTCTTCCAGTCATAAAATGACATTGCTAGTTAGCTTTAAGCCATCCATCAACCAAACATTGACATATCTAACAAATATCTAACTAATATTTCAGACTGGTAGGTGTCAGAAGATACTTAAAGGAGAATACGAACGAAAACAAAACTTTCGATATATTGTAAATTATATTCTAAAAGTCCCATTCCGTGATTAAAATTGAACAAAAAGTTTGTAAAATAGCAATAAAAACACAAAAACGTACTCGTATTTCCGCCTATTACGGAAACACCCGACAGTTAATGAGCAGAGGGGATATCACGTGACATGACGTCATATGTGCCTGTTGCTGATGCTTCCTCTTTGATTTTACCTCACAACTTAACAGTGTCTGTGGATTCTGAAGCAGTAAAAGATGTTCCTGGTGTCATTTCTGAAATGGATGTTAGACCGTATCAATACGATCCAAATTTACATCTTGCAAGACAATCTTCCACTGAAGATGAAGAAGATGAATCAAGCGAAACGGAGGCACTGCTTGAGGTCAAAATAAATGTAAAAATAGACCATATCATTAACAAGATTACTATTTGTCAGTAAAATGTCATACAGTTCCAGCCAGCAAACTCACCCCTATAAATATATGACCAGTCACTAAGAATTTTTTTTTTTTTAAATGTGATTACAGTTCATTTTATGTCAAATGGGTGACTGTAGGGTGTCTGGGATTTAAAAACAAAATAGTTATGCTTCAGACGGGGGAAAATAAAAATTATCTGCTTCAAAAATTACACTGGAATTATTTTGTTTTAAAAAAATTAGGATCCTAGTTAATATTCGTGACGCAGATAAGTTATTCCCCGAAAACTGGTTAATTATATAATACAAGTCAGGACAACGTATGTTTCCCCATTGTTTGGTTATGGAAATAGTTATGGTACTCGGTCATAGCCTTAGAATGACATCCTGTCAGCCAATGAGAATACAGAACAACTTTCACGGCACACACTACTGATAAATAGCGAGTCTGATGCCAATGTGCATAATTGGACAAAATCGAAAGCAATGAAAGCAACAAGTACTTCATGATTCACCGTATTTTTGGCAATGTTTCGAGTAGACTTCATCATAAAGGGCTCCAAACCGAAAAGAACGTTATAGCGAAACATTTTCAAGCTCATGTGAAATCTCTTACTGATTTTGATACTATATATTATCTCATGTGTACCAGTCGAACTGCCCCAGCTACAAAATTCCCCAGCAAATTTCGTCATTCATTCTAATTTGTTCAAATTTATTTATAATGATTGAATATATGCCGTAAATGCATAGTTTTTGTCAACTTATTATGATATTATGTTCTTCATATAAAAGTTATTCGGAGTAATATTTCTGATAAATGTTTCATTAGTAAACTCATAACTATGTATATACTTATATATGAAGAACATAATATCAAAGTTGACAAAACATTTATTCATTTTAAATAAATTGGGGCATTTTGACTACCCCACTGGGGCAATTTCACCAAATTGCTGGGGCATTTTGTAGCGGGGCAATTGGACTTGATTTAATTTATGTAAAAATACAACTGACAGTAAGTTGTTACAGGGAATGATGGAGTATAAATGAATCTCGTGGGTACTTTTTCCTTCTTCAGCCTAGCTTGGGGATTTCCATACCCCATGCGTGCATGTCTCTTTCATATGCGTCCGACTCGGAATGATCGGCACATTTCTCCTGCCGAAATCTGTCATTTCACATGGAAAACGGAAGAAATGGTGGTTCTTTCCCATGTTCGATGATGCCGTGCATCCCCAGGCAACGCAATACACCATCGTACCATTTAAAAAACCAACAGAAACAACACGATTTGTACTACTGTAGCGCTTGGTCTTTGGCAATATGGCGGACTCCAGGCACATTTGACGTCACGAGCGGAAAGGTCACGTGGGTTCCAGCTAAATATGCATAATGGCCGAAGCTGAGATTTACAGAAACTTTTTTCGCGATTGAAACATAATTATACATAATTTTCAATTGAAAATTTGGGAATATGTTTCTGATGACTTTATCTTTCACCCAGCAAATTATTGCAATTCACTTGTATTCTCCGTTAATCAAATCGTTTCAGATACTATGCGTGCCCCTTTATGGACAAACTGACCATCTAGATCCCGAATGTCCATCCACCATTCCTCCTCACTTATGTCAATTCAGAGAAATTGTTATTCCCCAAGAAAGTGAATCAATAAGAATTTGGTTAGCTTGGTCAATGCACTTTCCCAGTACATTGACCCTTCTTAACTTGACTTCAAATTGTCCCTAAATCTTTATGAAATATATATAATGTTTTAATTCTAAATATCCTGGTTATATAGGAACTGATTTTTAGAAGCTTGGCCAGTATGGACACATATAGACTCGACTAGAACATAGGGGGCATAAAGTGCTGGAATTCAAAAGCAGTAGTGTTGTAATAATAATGGTTGAATTGAGAAAAAAACTTCCCATGCTTTTATCAAATGCTCAAGTGTAAAACATATCTGATATTCTAACGAGGAATTCATTGTTATCCCCCACCGCACGTTTAGCTCGAAGCGGGGGATATAGTATTAGGCTCCGTCCGTCCGTACGAATTGAAATGTCTTAAGAACCGTTCACTAGATTCTTTTCATATTTGGTACCTAGTTTCATCACAGTATAAGAAAGGTCCAACTCAGGTTTGGTGACCTTGACCTTCATTTCAAGGTCACAAGGGGACTTTAACATTTTACCTGCATGTTAAGCTATATCAAGAACCGTTCACTGGATTTTCTTCATATTCAATATCAAGCTTTATCTAGGGAAGGTGCAGGGCCCAGTCAATTTTGGTGACCTTCACTTAATTTTCAAGGTCACAGAGACACTTTGAAGATTTCAGCATATTAACCTACATGTTATGCTTGTCAGCGAGATACTTCAAGAACCATTCACTGGAGTTTCTTCATATTTGATACCAAGCTTCATCAAGGGAAGGCGCAGGGCCCAGTCGATTTTGGCGACCTTCACATAATTTTTAGGGTCACGACGACACTTTGAAGATTTCAGCATGTTAACCTGAATTGTCAGCAAGATATTTTAAGAACAGTTCACTGGATTTTCTTCATAGACTTTTAAGACTTCTCTTGAATGTTTTTCAATAAGCAATTTCTTTAGTACTAGTTTTGCATATTTCATACACTATGACATTCATGTCAAGGTCAAAGTCAGTCTTGAAAATATGTGTGTGTTTGAACAACTAAAGAGCCAGATATCAAGAGAGGTTGATTAGTCATGTTTTTGGTGACATTTAACTTCATCTTAAAGTTTCATTACTTTATAAGTTTGATTTGATAATTTGCGGCGGGGGATTATGTCACCTTAGTGACAATGCTTGTTATTGTTAAATGTAATTGTAAAGTGTAGTTAGATAAGTAATTAAATAGCAGTACTAACTAATGTTAATTGAAAGCTGGACATTTGTATAAATACTATGTACTTGAATCTACAACAATGACATGGATAAGCATGATTTGATGTTCTTTGTAAATTTTTCCATCCTTGATTAAAGAAGTCAAGATTAAATAATTCACTCATAGGCATACTTTCAAACAGCAAATATTATTTAATAATGTCAATGTTAAATATGTTGAATTCTCTTTTCATGCATTATGTACACTGAATAATTATGACTGATGTGCTAAACTGATTCCACAACCTGTTCAATGAAACATTTTTTGTCAATTCCAGCAACCATCCACCAATTTTGATGACAGTGGTTTCTTCTCTATCCAAGTGATCCAAGAGGCCTTAAGTGTATGGGGACTGGACTTGGTACCCTATAACAGTCAAGATGGCATTGCAATACAAGCTCGCAGGGAGCCAATGTGAGCACACAGAGAGAACATACATGGCTTACAGAACAGCCAAAGTAGCTGTTCCTTTGTTTTCAACAATAGGTATCAGAGCTGTTGTATAGTTTTCCTCAGTTTTGGCTTTTGACCCTCCCAGGAGGGTGACAACTGCAAAAAACTATTACCAACTGCCACGGTAACCAGCAAACTCTCGGCCAAGAAGCTGTATCACTAACAATTGCATAGTGTGACGCATGCAGTGCCTGGAGTTCGAAACTGTTTGATTAGCTGTTTTTGAGTTCACTATGTAGACATCTATTTTACCGACTTTCACTGCTTTATTTAAACTATTTTACACATTGAATCGTTTGCAAACTCAACTTAAACATAATTAACCATTCTTATACCAGTTTTAAGCTTGTCAGAGGATGTTTCACTGATTTTAAAAATCCAGTCGGGGGGCAGACGCCATTTTGTTTACATCTCATATAGTCGGTAGCGATATTCAAAATAAAATAAAATTCTATTTTGTACATTTAACATGGCAGTAAGATAAATACATTTATGCTTCTCCCTCGGGTAATACGGTCTGATGTACGCCTTTTTGTAGCAGTTTCATCCCTCACCTACTGACTCGGGTGACACTGCTACAGAGGCATACATTATTAGTTACACAGTGTTTTGAAAGGGTGTACGGAACTGTAAGGCGCAGCCTCAGGAAATACGGAATTTACAAGGGTCTTACAGTCCCTTACACCCTTTGAAAACACTGTGTGATGAATTTATTACTCTTAAGATATTCTTATTTAGTTTATCTTTAAACAACAACATTCCATCATCGGCAGAATGAGACACAAAATCGTTTCCATATGATTTTTTCTTAACAGTCATAATGGAAGATAACTCGGGATGGCTTAGTTTATGATAAAAATTATCGAATTTGAGGTTTTATTAAAGGACAAGTGAAATACAGAAACATTTTATTTTTTGGATATATTTTTGACACAAACAAATAAGAAATTATGGCAACAATTTTATTACTCTGTTTAAACTCATAATTGTATACGCCAACTCTAAAATTTCGAAGTGATCAGCTGTTTGGCAGCCACATTCCACCTAAGGTCAAGGTCATTCATACAACCCGTGTAGTGTGTCACATGACAGATTTGACAGGGTGTACGGTTCGTACACCCAGGCAAATCTGCCTCCATGGTTTAGTATGCTTTGGCTATTGAGCAATCAGAATTCGACAAATTTATCTTGAGGGTAATAACAGACCGTATTACCCATGAGAGAAGCATACAACTTATAGTATCCAACCTGCGTTGTTCAATCATGGTATTATTTCATCAACTAAACTTGATCATTTATCAACTGTCATCATATAGTTGGAATATTTTTGTGTGCAAGATTAAACATCAAATACAAAATCTAGAACAGAAATGAATTTATCAGGATGACTTCACTGAAAACTGTGAAAACTTTTTAGATTAATGGATTCACTGTGTTGCCAAGGTGACAATGCATGTGATGTTTCTTGAAAAGAATACATTTCTAGGTATTAAAATCCTTGTATATATTTCAGGAGATTTTGTCCTTCCATCGTTTCTTTTTCTATCCATTCAAACGCTTATGCATAGATAAAGAGTTCATCTACAATTTGCAGTCATTGAATTCTGTCATCGTCAGCAGATATTGCTGTAATGTGATATTTTTGACACATATAATGTTGTGTTGTTTTCAGCCATGAACAAGCCTACATATGTAACTTCAAGCAACACTGGTTCAGTGTCCGGAAACTGGGTCACCAGTGGTTCAACCTCAACTCCCTCCTCACTGGGCCAGAACTCATTTCCGACACATACCTCTCTCTCTTTCTTACACAGCTGCAGCAAGAGGGTGGGTAGCTCTTTAGAAGTTGTAGTGTCTTGAAAATTATATCTAATGGAAGTAACTTCTTGTTACTGTGCTTTGTGCAGATCAAGACGGGTTGGCTCGGTACTAGCAGAGACCATATAATAGATCTATTATTATCTATTATATGGTCTCTGGTACTAGTAATAGCAGTATGCTGTTTTGAAATAGTGTATTCATGTAAAAAGAATTTGGAATGGCATGTCAGTGGGTTTTCACCATAAAATCAGCATTTAAAAGTTCGGACTAGGACATGGGGCCATGCACACACATGTATGCATGTTACTGTGTAAGTGCAATAATCTTGACATTAAGCCTCCTTTCACCTCGGGTGGTGGGACAGTGGGCTAGCAGTATAAAACCAGCTTAAGTCTGGGCTAGTACAAGCAGCCGCACATACACATACACACGCATGCACGTCGTCATATGAGTGAAATATTCTCAAGCACGACGTAAAGCCCAATTTCACCTCACCTCACCTGTGGTGTTGCTGTGATAGTGTTGGGATATTGCTAAAAGTGGCGTAAAACTAAACTCACTCACTCACAGGTTTAGGTCCTTTAGCTGTGTCAAAAATAAGTCTATTGTGGTTTTTTAACTGATTGTTTCAATGATTTTCCACACATACACATGCATGCACATTAAACGTTAAACGTAAACCCCATTTCACTTCACCTTCAATGATTTTCGGCACCATGCTACTGCTCATGGTTTTCATCAATGTAGTTAACATCTCAATCCTGCATCACTTCACTCTTTCCTAAACTTTATAACAGTTGGTGAATCATGCCTTATATATACATGGACATGATAGAGGATAGTTGAGCAAAGGATAGAACTGACATTTAAGTAGGTTTTAATTCCATTTGACCAGACACCACTAGGTTAACATGTTTAGAAATGCTAAACATGTTGAACAGTTGTATATGAAACATAGGAATTATACCCTTTTGGTATTTATGACTAGTAGGGTTGAATATATATATATACCTTTTAAGTGTTTGAATACCTTCATTCATGATCCGACAATCAGCATTATATACTGTCATATTTTTGTCATTACACCAACAATTACCTCTCCATTGTTTCCTTTGATAAGTTTGATTATTGATTATTAATTATGCCAGTGGTTGTAATTTTTGTGGGTTTTGTTTCAGGCTATGCAATATACATCATAGTAGGCAAACTACCCAACAGTGAAGCAGATCAGCTCTTAAAAATGATTCCTGCAGTTCAGCCAATCAAACCTACTCTTATCAATGAGGCAGCTGAAACATCTGACCAATCAGGTGATGGGGACATGGAACTGCAGCGTGCCATTGAGGAGAGTCGCAGGCTAGTCGAGAATGATGACACGATGTTACAAAAGGCTTTAAAGATGAGCATGTCAGGTATTAATTCTGACTTTATAAATAATGCTGCCTTATTTCCGATGTTTAATCTAGACCTTCTCAGATATATATGGCTTGAGGTAAACGTGGTAAATGAATAAGATATTCACACTGATAGTTATAAGTATTCATGATAATATTACTGATAACATTTCCAAGACAAAAATGATAATGCAGTGATACTCAAATTGAATAATGCTATGCTCACTCACTTATTTTAACCCTGTGGTTTAAGAATCATCTGCCCCATTTTAGACAAGTTCATGCAATACCTTGGATATAGTAAATTGTGGCACTAACATGATTAAGCATCCCTCATTCTATGATCCACTTGTTTTTCCCAACCCCTCTATTTTATAGACATTTCTTTTTAAGTAATAGGGAGAGAACGCCAATAGTTTATTTCTCATTCAAATTATGTAATAAAACGTGAACTGTTTTGTCAGGTTATATAGTGGATGATGAGGTAAGTGTAGGCCCAAGACTGTTGAGTGAACAACCTGGCACAAGTACTGCAGGTGCCCCCAATCCCACTCAGGAAGAGTTAAGGCAGAAGAGGCTTGCATTTCTCAGCAAGGTTGATAATACTCCGTCCACACCCAACCAGTCAGAATCTACACCACCAGCTAAGGAAGGTGAGTCAGCTTTGCATCAATGGAATACACATGGAGTTGTCCCAGCTGTATAATGTTAGTGTACAGGCAACTTAATGAGAATTTTCCATACAGATGTTTTGTAATTAACACAAGTGTTCTAGTCAAAGATTGGTTGGTTGGTTGTTTAACGCCACACTGAGCGGGTGCCAGTCAAATCGCCCCAGCTACAAAACGCCCCAGCCAATTTGGTCAAAATGCCCCGGAGTTTTGGTCGAATCGCCCCAGGTTTGGTCAAATTGCCCCAGGGGGGTAGTCAAAATGCCCCAGTGTATTTAAATTGGTTAAATATATGCCACAAATGCATAGTTTTAGTCAACTTCCATATTATATGCCATATATAATATTATATAGTGAGATTTCTAATACATTTTCTATTAGTAAACTGATAAGAGCAAAAGTAATATTCATGTATAGACAACACTGTAATACCAATTATTTGGTAAAGAATTACAAGAGTAAAATGAAAAGTTTGTATAATATGTTTATTGGCTGTAAATAGTTTTTGTTAAACAAATGGCATTGTGTAATCATAACAAGTATGGTATAATATTTATGATTTAAACACATTTATTTCCAAAGAAAGGAACCGGATTGGTAAACCAGGGTTTTACACAGACTTTTAAAAATGGGAGTCATGGTGACTCACAATATTTATTTTTTGGAGTCATTTTCAATATTTGGGAGTCATGAAAAGTTTAATATTTCTTTGTGTTAATCATTCTCAGTATATAAATGTATGTCACACCACTAAATGAAACTACAGCATTGTTCAATTCAAACAGCCAGGATTACTGCCTCCTCTGAGTTCTCTGGAACAATCTGACAATATCATTTTTTTGCTTATCAAATCGATTTTATTGAATTGAGTTGTGAGGGTCACCCATAAAACTTGCGTCAAGCTTGACTCGTATGATAATATTTTGAGGGTCGTTTACAAAATTGTTGCGTCAAATACGCAGGAATCACGCGTCATGTAAAACCCTGGTAAACAAGTATAAGCTTATATGAATATCGCTCCGGGCATACAATGGAAGGAAGGATAAACACATCATGATGAATGTACAATGTGAATGATATATAAATGTTGCAAAAACGAGAAATAACGCCCATCATTGTTAAACAGTATATGTCATATAAACAAATTATTTTGGATCAAATCTGCCTGTTAAATTTATAAAAGAGTGCACTGAAATTAAAAGTTCTTTGTTTACTATTGAGGAGCAGCTTTGGTTTCCAAACAAAATTGATTTTAGGTCAAATCCTTTAGTATAAAAATACATAATTTGACGTATATCGTTGTAAAGAGAACATGAAAAGAAATAGTGAGCAGAGTCTTCATAGTTATGGCCACAAGGGCACGATGATGTTGGAGACATAAATCTTTCATATATGTGCACATTAACATCACTACATTCAAGTCGGAGACAAGAATATATGATTTGACAAAATCTGCTACTGAAATTTAAGCCAAAATGACTGTAGATATTAGAATTGTTTAAAATTACATTTTAGAATCTCGATAGGTGATGGTCAATTAATGGTCAATTGATGGTCAATTAGTGAATATGTTTTTATAGCCAGAAATGCTCATACATTCGAGCCTCAACATTTCCTTCAACTAAACACAGCATTGAATGTCAATTAGTGAACATGTTTTAATAGCCTGTTTTTATCCACACTTTTTGACAAGATTAATTAACAAAAGCTCTAGATTGTTTTGATAAGCATTATACTAACTTGCTGACAAAAACTATGCATTTATGGCCAATAAACATTCTATACAAACATTTCATTTTATTCTTGTAATTTTTTACAGAAGCATTAATAACATGCAAATAATTGGCATTACAGTGTTGTTTATACATGAATATTACTTTTGCTCTTATCAGTTTACTAATAGAAAATTTATCAGAAATATTACTATATAATATTATACGATGTATATAATATGGAAGTTGACAAAAACTATGCATTTATGGCATATATTTAACCAATTTAAATACACTGGGGCATTTTGACTACCCCCCTGGGGCAATTTGACCAAACCTGGGGCGATTTGACCAAAACTCTGGGGCATTTTGACCAAATTGGCTGGGGCGTTTTGTAGCTGGGGCGATTTGACTGGCACCCCACTGAGCAATATTCCAGCTACATGGCAGTGGTCTGTAAATAATCAAGTCTGGACCAGACAATCCTGTGATCAGCATCATAAGCATCGATATATGCAATTGTTATACGATGACATGTGTTAACCAAGTCAGCAAGCCTGACCACTCTATCCCGGTCGCCTCTTACGACAAGCATGGGTTACTGAGTACCAATTCTAACCTGGATCTTCACAGCTACCAAGATTAGTAAATTGAGGACAGACTTTTACATGTGGACATATCAGATTGTGACCTGTGTGGCATGGATTGTTGCAAGCACTGGACTTCCATGCATAAACTGGATTATTCACAGGCTGTAGAGAAATATCTTAAATCATGTATAAATATTCCTGAATATAGCATCCACACTCAAACTACTGGCATAAGCTTAACTATATATATATATCCCAGTGTTCCCACAGACTTGGACTTAATGAAGATAATTGTAGCATGTGGTGAAGCAATGTTGGTCATGCAGTGTTATTGAATAGGTGATCTCTCTAGTGCTCCAGAACTGCCAAAAACTTTGGGACATATAGTATATGTGTGTCTTCTTAGGCAAATGGCTTGTGCCTCTGTTCACAGGGCAGTGAATGGGTACCAGTACTTGGTAGGATGAGATTGTCACTGTTTAGTTTCTAGCACCTCACAGGCATCTTGGGTTGTAGGGAGCTGAGAATGAAAAGTAGACACTGACTGACCAGAGTAATAATGTAGCTCTATGGTTATTCCTAGCATGTGAATTTGGCATATAAATATTCACATCATTATTTGTATTATTTCCAAATTCAATCTGTGTTTTAGATGAACTGAGTGAAGAAGACATGTTGAAGAGAGCAATGGAGATGTCAATGCAGCAAGGAGAGCAGGCATGATGACAGCTGTTTGTAGTCAGCTGTGTTTCTTTAGTAGAATGCATCTGTGATAGATGGCATACCAGTGTTTGGTGCCATCAGCTGTTTGTAGACAGACATGGCATCTTAGAGAAACTCTGACGATGGTGACTTTCTCTACTGACCAGAAAATGCAACTTAACTCTTCAGGGAATAATTGCTTGATACTTCTCAAGCCTAACCAACTTACAACTGTTAAGACTGCTGTAAGTTTGTAAGTGATATGTAAAGCCTTTAAGTGTGAGGGTACTGATAATCAAAATTGTAAGCGGAATGGTTTAATTTGCATATTACATAATAACATTTGCCCTTGTTAAACAAGACAAGGAAAACTTAAATGAGTAAGAAATATATGAGCAATAGTCAAATTAGTCAGCACACAAGTCTGTGAATGACATTTTAAAGAGATCAGATCGAATACAGCAACTCCATATTGAGAAACTATATATTTCCATGGACATTATTTTGTAGGACTAGCTAGTTTGTATCACTTTTGAGGGCTTGAAATGTTGACTAGAATGTTTTTGATGTGGACACCCAGGACAAGAATGAAACTGTCTCTTTGAACCTACTACTACTACTACTATTATTATTATCAGTTCCATAGAAGTATGATAAAACATATATCTATTGCTGGTGTAGGTGTACTCAAAGAAATCAGTGTTAAGTGTGAAATATTGGTAGATTTTATGTAAAACATTGCTGGTAGTTACTAATTTCTCATATTTGAACGACTGAATATGTGCAGCACCAGGTTGGTAGTTTGTTTATTCACAGACTAAATGTTATCATGCCAGCATTTCAAGCACTGCAAAATTGATGCATGTAACGCTCCGATTGGAGGTGTGGATAGGTGGGCGAGATGGCTGTAATAAGGATGTTTGACTAATCTGTTCAAACATCATTTAGAAGTTTGACAATCAAGTTGTTTCTGAAGATAAACCAAATATTGATAAATGTTCTACATTACCTGAAAACAGGACACTTCCTAAGGAAATTACCCCAAACACATAGCGTGACACCACAGACAATGTGGTGTTACGCTGTCATCCTATGAGGTTATGTGAATCAACTCTACCATGTGTTTTACAGGTGTTATTATTTCACTTAAGTTGGTATTTCACTGCCATATTTAGAATGCAGCCTTGTTGCTGCAAGATAAAGTACAATAATACCTGTCTGAATTCATAAAAGTTTTCTGTTGTTGATGTATGAAAATTGCAATTGGACTAGTATTGTACATAGTAAGATTTTTCAACAAAAGATATCTATTTTAGAATAATTTTATATTTGTTCACCAGATATTTTCCACCAGGCAGTTTCTATTTTGTGATTATTAGAACAGGTATGCAGTGTTCTTTAAGAGAGAGATGGTTCCTCAAGGTTTGTTCCAATAGTACTTGAATATAGGGACTCTCTACATATTTACCCTTATGACAAGGGCCCTTGACTTCCACTAGGTTACTTTCCAATACTGAAGCGCTAGTGTTGCATGTAATGGACCTGGGTTCAAGTCAAATATGTGATTTACATTATTCATAATTTCTGTGAGTTGACATATGTCATAAAATGCTTTGGTGTGTTCATTATACAGTAATCCTCACTTCATCTAAACATTTCTTTGACCACAAACTATTTTGGGGTGGTCTGTTGTCTCAGTACTACTTCACTGATCATGGCTTCTTAGAAGCTAATTTCATAGTATAGCTTTTTCAAATTATGAAGTTAGGTTTATGATCTACTGCAGCGGACAGTTTCTGTCTATAGCAGTACTAGGACGATTAAGTCTTATATTTGTGTTCAGAAAAGACATTTCAATTTTGGATTTTATTTCAATTAATACAATTACCTCAAGTGTTTCTAATCTTGGTTTACAGAATATTTCCACAATTAAACACATTGTATTTAGCAGGGAGCTCTAATAAAAGCATTGATGTACACAGAATTATCAACAAATTGAATGCAGAAAAGAACTGCTAGAAGTCCATAGTTTACTTATTTCTAAAACACTAATATGAGAAGTGCTGTTTCTCTTTAAATTTCAATTCCCCCCCAATTTTGAAAACCTAGTTAGCTGGTAAGTATACCAAGTTTTGAAAATGAATGTCAACAATGGTAAACATACTGTCGTAAGTGGGATTCAGACTATTTAACACTGTTGATCATAAACAATTGATAAATTGATTGTGTATGTTTTCTACATTATTTATGACTTCGACATGCACATCCTGTGTCATCCTATGTCATGTTTTCAGAATCTCCTGATGAAAGGAATAAATGTGGAAATTCCCAACTTTTGTTACTTTTATAAACTATGCATCTTTCATGTGCAAATTTGTAAGTAAATGTAAGTATGTCTAGCTCAATAAAAACAAAAGCACTAACTGCATTGATCATGCTTTCTTTATTATCTGTAGTTTATTGCATCCACCATGACACAGATACCCATGGTGTATTCCACGGCTTGCATGTAGAACATACATGTCCATGAACAATCACCCTTATGTTTCACATATACATTATCTGATATATAACCTGAGCCATCAGTTGGCCACAAGTAGTGAAGAGTAATAGATTACACAGACATGTTCCATGGACTGAAGTAGTCCAAAAAGCACTGTGGGCAAAAGCATTTCCTCATGGTATCGACCAATTGGAAGAACTGATACTTCAAAAGTACTACTGTCATACCATGCTGATGGTTATAAGTAAAATACCATCACTGATATCTGCAATAACAGCATGTACCAACTCTCCTCAAATGAATGGTATCAGCGCATCATCAGTGGTGTAGATTCAAGTCTAGTTTTGCCCTTGCAGTGAATCACCAAGCTCAGTACTATTTCCCTGTCACACTCTTCTGACTGCTCTCTTCATCCACAGGACGGTGAAGCTGAAGCAGAAATAACATTTGTTACAACACATGACTTTCTCAAAGCTTTGTCATTTCCCTTTGACAATGACGGTGCAAGAAGCTTACCTTTTCCTGAGGAACCATTGTAAAATTAAGGAAGCCAAAGAAAAGCACAAGTTGCCAAATTCATGTTTCAGATTAAGCCACTGAAAATGAAAAGCTTTGATTGATTATTCCAAACTTTCTTAGATTGAAAAAGAGTTCTTACTTTCTTAAATGCAAACAATTTCATGATTGTCCTGTCATCAGTTAAATGCAAGTCCCACTTGGAAGGCCATACCATTAGTATAATTTACAAAGTAGGGACATGATTTATTCTAAACTGGAAACTTGTATTGACATTTGCTACAGATATTGTTACAAATATCTCACTCTAAGAACACCAAGAAAAAGCCATGCTTTATCACTGTTTAAATCCCCTATATACCATCAAAGCAGAAAGGAACATAAGTTTAAAAAGATTCTTATACCACAGTTAATCAGTATTTCCCCCCTTTTTTTTTTTAATTGAAAACAACAAGCAGCCTACTCAGACCAAATTTTGGGAAAAAGCATTCCCAAAAAAACAAGTAGTGCGGTTTTGTTTTGTTTAGCCTTACAATGCTTACTGTGACAAATTTAATGTTTGTTGTTAAATATTTGTTTATTTATTGTTTAAGACCACACTCTGCAAAATATGGTGGTGATCTATAAAAATAATCGTGTCTGGACCAGACAATCCAGTGATCAACAGCATGAGCATCAATCTACACAATTGGGATACGATGACCCCTTACAACAAACATGGGTTGCTAAAGGACCAGATCTTCATGGGTTGATTTAATGACTGACTGAGTTTGGGTTTACGCCGCTTTTAGCAATATTCCAGCAACATCACGGCGGGGGACACCAGAAATGGGCTTCACACATTGTACCCATGATTTAATGAATGGTTGCATTGATGACTCCATGACTCTAGCTTTGCACATCATATACTTACTGCTTTAGCTATATCTGCCCACTGCATTGCTTGTGTAAAGCGGTCATCAGCACTTGGCAGCTTGTCTAAATTCCAATATGTCATCTTTTGGAATCGGTGGGTGATGTTGAGTTCACGATCCTCATCTTCTGTCACTGGCTTTCTGTTCTCCTTCACTACAATACCTGAATCATAAGATGATGAACATTGTTATTTACAGTACAACCAGAAATTATTGAGAATATAAAGATTGTAAATTATTTTTTTTGTCAACTCATTACTCACGTATTAAATGTGAATATTAGCAGAACATAACTCCAGATTCAAAGACAGGTGAACCGTTAGTATTTTGTCAAGTCACCATGGGCAGCAATGCAGGCTTCAATGCGGCGGGGCATACTAGTGATCAAAGAATTTAGAAAGTCGTCCATGCTGTCCCAATATCAAACCACCTCTTCTTTCATTTCAGCAATATTTGTCAGATTTTTCTTATTGACACTTTCCTTCATAAGTCCCCAAACATTTTCTATTGGATTTAGGTCAGGGCTATAGCTTGGCCAATCTAATAATGTCATATTTTGGGTCCGAAACCAGGCCTGTGAATGCCTTGAATGATGTTTTGGGTCGTTGTCCTGCTGGAAAATCCAAAAATTTCCATAGAACACGTGAGCAGATGGAAGTAAATGTCCCTCGATAATATCTGTGTAACGCTCACTGTTCATATTCCCTTCAAATACAGAGGGGCGTTGCACCTAACACAGATATGCCACCCCACACGTTAAATTTCGGACTGTACTTTGGGCGCTGATACAAAAGATTTTCAGTTTGTTTGGTCCAGAATTTCAGTGTATTAGGAAACAGCCACACAGAACTTTCATCTGAGGAAATAACATTGTCCGAGTTAAAATTTCTATGCTGCAAGCACCAGTTCAACCTTCGCTCCTTTTGTTCAGGTTTCATGATCGGTGATGGAATTCCTTGACTTTTCTGCCAACCCATTGCATGCAGCTCAGTTCTAATTGTCTCCTTACAGACAGCCACAGTTCCTCTATCAATCATATCCTGGGCCTACCTGCACCTCCCTGGTGCTCAATGCCATATCCATTTGCAATATTTTTCAAAACATGATAAACAGTGGACAGAGGGATGCCTGTTCTACTTGAAATCACTTTAGCTGATCTCATGTCCTTGTTATAATACTCTAAAATCAACTTCCTCTTCTCTAAATCATCCATACTGAGGATCACTGAAAATGTCGTCTGCTAGCAAGTAAACAAAGGGGGATAACTCTTCACAAACTAACTAATGAAAAGGGATTACCGGAGTTGTCTCTCTTGAATGAAACCAAGCACTTGATAGCTGTTCAAGGTTGTTTATACTAGAAATCCAATTAAACATATTCCTAAAATTCTCAATAATTTCTGGTCATACTATATTATTGTACTTGTGTGGGTCATTCAGCTTCATAAAACAATATGTGACAAAATGCATGAAAACTGTATACACATCATTTGAAATGCTCTGATACAGTGTCTATTCTTGGAAACACCCTTATTCCATTTGAGCACTGAAAGTTTATATACAAACTTTAAAAGTACTGGTGGGCCTTGTTGGCAAACTCAAACTTCTTGGTCGATTTTATCTTCTTTTTTCTATACTTTTTAAAATATTTTTAGTAGCACCAGGTGGGCACCTGAGAATGTCTTCAAGGATACCATATCATGCTGTTACAATGCCTTGTGATGAAACATTGAAAGATTTCTATATCAAATCATTATTCATTTTATTTATTTGCACGTTTTGTTAGCGAGAGCCCATTGTGCCAATTCAATGCAATCCACTTTATCCCTACGTACACTGAAAAATATGAAAATATCATACTCGATTTGGATGAAAATGATGAGTTGAAATGCATTTCAGTCATGATTTATCTGGAAACAGACATATATTTTGGGGGGGCCTGTGGTTTGACACTGACACTGTAGATGCTCTACCTTTTCACATAGACTGATACTGATAAAACACTGTACAGTGTTATAATGTTCAGGATTCATGTTTTAATACTGATATGTCTAGAAGGTTGAGGACTTTGATATATTTTGTTTGACTGATGAGGAAGCTATTAAGTGTAACAAGTATTTAGTTCATTCTTTAAAGTTAATGTTGAAAATGAAGAACGAACATTACCATGATAATAAGCATTATGATTTGTCATTGTCATTGTTGAAGCATAAAGTTGTAATATTTAAATACTTAAAAGGTTGAAAACTTAGATTTATAGCTGGATGAGAAAACCTGTTTCATTTTTGAAGTATTCATTTGAGGGTTGTTGTTTTGTTTAAATTTTAATTTGAATTAATCTTAACTGTTTGATAATTGTGTTAAACAGATCATGGATGGATTTCTCTTGTTCAAAATGTGGATCTTACCTATATTGGAAGTCAATACAGTAAGTGAACTCAAATGAGTAACTACTAAGTGCTGTATGACTAACAAGTCACAGCAATTTGACATGACACAAACTAATTTCTAAATGGCCCACTAACTTAAGACAGTTGAGCCATGAGCCCACTTTTCATAAAGGCTAGAATGAACACTGCTGATAATGATTTCCTTACATTCTTACTGAACTCATTAAAAAGAACATTTTCATCACCAATTGTCAGCTGAAGGTAAGGACAATAAGAGTGAATGCATGTGCCATAGACACATTTTCCTAAAAACAGCCTGTTGGTTTCAAAGTAGGGCATAGAGTAAAAACTAGAGTATTTTATTTCTAGCAGCATGCATAAACATGGAATGATTGACAATCATAAAGCCAGCGAGTCTGCATGAGTGGTGCAAAGTTTAGAACAACAATTAAAAAGGCATGTTCAGATATCGGTGAAGGATTAATGAAATCTTGGAAAGTTGTCTACTGGATTGCTTCTGGAAACACCCATTATTTCAAAGTCTTTAGGATCTTGGGGTGAAGACATTTCAAAGTATGTTCAGATAGCTAGGCCTATTCAATTTCAAAATGGCCTATCAGTCTGAAAATGGACCATTTTTTGTACATATCAAAGGGTCACTGGCATATTGAATCAGTTGCCTTTACCAATGGATGAATTTCAAGTGAATTTTACAGTTTGCACACATACCCAAGAACCTTTGAAATTGTTTTAGATTTCCATACCTGTTACCATCATGATCACGGCTGACTAGACTAAGACCTTATCTCTGAATATATATAATTTTGATAGAATCAAACAATTCCTAATAAATAGAAAAGAAGCCTCAGTGAGAAGGGAGATCCCCGAACCTGATGAAATCTAGACTTGCTTTACTTAGAGCTTGAGCAAGGGCTTGGCAGAAGGGGAAAACATGTGGTTTAAGGACTGTGAGACAGACTAACAATTGACCTCTGGGTTATGCTAAGTAGCATTAAGCCTTCAAAATTCAAAGTAGTCAAGGACTACTAGATTCTGACAAGTAAACATCCACTGACAGAAACATAGTCCTCATTGGCTATAGAAACTCGAACTGACTAAATTGACAGAACAAATGTAAACATAGAAAATATTTTTGTCTTGTTAAAACATATCTTACTACACACTCCTGGGAGTATTGAAATCAGGTTTTCACTTGTCATCAGGACTAGTCTAAAAAACAACACATAAATTTCTACTGGCTAGCAAACAATTATCGCCATATTTTAGCGGGATTTGCAAAATTACCATTCATTAAATTAATGAAACAGAATTAATTATGATACTTAATTAGCTATTCACCGATGTGTCCAGTCCGTTCACTGCCGACGATCATGCTTTTATATAACGCAGTGGAGGGAATCATGGCAGTATAAATAGATGTTTTCTCACAACTAACTGTAACAGTCATTGCCATTCAGAATTTCTCATGCCATTCGGGAAAAAATATATATTTATATCATACAGTAACCTCGAAAAATTGATTCAATGATTGTGTGACTAAATTGTGTGTTTATTTTACAGTAGATTGAGAGGGAATGAAACAATTAATGACTTGTGAACATGAACTTGCTATTATATAGGTCATGGGACATCCCCCTGACTAAGTTAAAATTTTTTATAGGGTTCATAATTTTATCTTTAATTTAATCTCTTATGTTACTTGCCGTGAAGTATTTTCTTTTCCTGTCCTTTATTGTTGTCAAATACCGTGGGGAAAAAATACAGCGCTAAGATAGTCGTAAGTGCCATATTTTAACATTACCTTACGACTATCTTAGGGCTAAGAGAGCTACGAAAATCTAGGCCCAGGATATGTAATTGACCGGAACTGCGCATGTGTGATACTGATGTATTGGCGATAACTGTTATGCAGCAATAACTGTTCGCTAGCCAGTATAGTTTATAGCAGTTAGTATCTTGCATTTCATCACTGAGGGCACTTATTTACCGAGTCTGAACCAGAACAACCATTGGTCGGCAGCACTAACACTGATCACTGCTATTGGCAACACAGACATTCAAACAGCTCCCTCCCTGTAACTAACAAAATAGGATTATCATCATAAGCAAGAATACCTGAATATCCGATCGGTAAAGTGAAATGTTGTCCGTTTAATGGTCTACCTCGGAAGGATGCCGTCGGGCCTGAAAACATAATTAAAAGCATAAAAATAAAGAATACACAACATGCAACTTCCACAAGCCACTAAGTTTGCAAAGTGTAACTGAATAATTGAGCATTGGATCTCATTTAATATTGCCCACATGACACTAACTCGTATACATGAGTCATTAAATAATTTTCTGTATCTTGGGAACCTCAATTTGCTGTTGCTTATCGGCTACTAGCGGCCCCTGTTACTCCCTGTACATCGTATGAACAACGCTCAGGCGTCTACCATCACGATTTGCGACATCACCTTCTCGTTCTTCCCGAATTGTTGTCGTAAAGTAGGAAGATACATTCGCACTTCCATCATGTTCAACATCAAATGGCATCAAATGACATGAATCTTCCAATACTCCTGGAACAGATGATGTGTTTAAATAGATAGACATGTTCCCGCGATATATCTTGAATGACCTTCACCTTAGAAGACGAGAATGGAAATCCCAACCAATGAAATGTATTGTTGCAAATATATATTCTCTTTCCGGTGGTTTTCTACTTGTTGACATATTTACCACGTGTTTGTGTTGTGCTAAATATGAGACGGTACAGATATGGCGATCCAACAAAAGCTAGCCGAATACAGTGGAAAAGCGCACTGTATTTCCTTGCAGCTTGGAACGTATTAGGCATTGTAGTATATAAAGTATACAAGTCGAAAAAGAAAGATGAAACACCAGAATGGGATAAATTGACAACTAGTAAGTTTTGAGAGAGGATGTTATCGCATTGAAGACATTGAAGTGTGTTCAATACATAACATTAGAGTGTCATCATTAGCAGTTTTCAATTTGCAGTCTTGGACGAAAAACGTATCGAAACGATTTGCGAATCAGCTGGTTATTAAGTGCATTTCGAATTAAAAGTCTACCCTATACATCTACCCTATATTAGAAGTAGATTAACCCATGTTGAGCGTATACGTTATTGACTATCATGATGACCATACGGCTAACTTGTCATTAAATGTTACCCTTACAGCTCAAAAGTACATGCAGTTGGTCACAGTTGGAGGAAATAAGCCAATAGAAAAGGTACAAATGTCCGGTCTAACACCTGTGAGGACAGAAGAGTTTAAAAAAAAGAGTGATTGTAAAGGTAGGATTGCTTAAACCCAATATCCCACTTCCCACCTTAATGTGACAACATTTGAGTGTAAATCTTCACAAAGACATTAATCATATCATACATCACGATGATGATGATGATGACAGACAAGAGGTTTCAGCATAAATACCTTTGAGTTTGGTCCAGCTATAAAATAGGGGTTTATGTGGATGTGGTTATGGTGATGACACAGTCATGTATATTAATCTTTTTATTGGTTTCAGATGAATTCTGTGATGCATATGATCATGATCCTCTGAAAGATGCAAGATTTATCTCCATGGACTTTGGACCATTTAATAACAGTCGTTGCCATGAACATCTAGAGAACAAATAAGATGTTGTGTAGGTGTGGCACTACTGTGTTGCTGCATGTATATCAACATCAAGATGATTATTATTTAGAAGATACATACATGTCTGGAGCAAAATACACCAGCTTTCAACATTTCTGAAAAAATCCAGCAGATGAACTATATGTTAGTGCCATATTTCCTCAAGTTGACATGCACCATGGTTCTGTTTAGGTTCATGTATCTACCATTGTGAGTGTAGCATGCAGTATGCTGGCTGTTTGGTAGAGGAAGACAGGACTCTGACAACTGACATATCTGTAAATGAAGTTTAATGTTTTTCTCACTTTGAACATTTTGAACTGGTTCATGTTATTAAAGGCTTATTTATATGTCATTCTGAGACAGTATACTCAGAGATATTGTAAGATTGTTTTGAGTGAATGTGTTTGTGTAAATAAATGAGAGTGTTCCCAACAGTGTGTTTTACACACACTACTTCTGCAGCAGTATTTTGAATGGCACTGGTGTGTAAATCGATCCAGTTCATTGAAACTAATGCAAAGATGAACCCAGGTGGAGCACAGGCTGAACACACATTATCATCTTTGTTGTCAACAAAATACCAGGTGTATGTGGAGTGGACCAGAAAAACCATCAGTGAAGGTGATAAGATATGCCCCATGGCCAACACTATTGACATAGGTGATAAACACGTCTTAGGATAGGTTACTGGGGACCTAACCTGAAATTCTCTGAACTGTCATTGAATTTTACACCCAAAATAATCTTGTCATGTCAAAAGAGCTATTTTAAAGATATACTAGCCACATAAAGAAACTGTGCACACAGAAAATGCCTTCATAACTGGAATACAACACAGCAAAGATGAAATGATGTAGACACTTTATAAGCTGAAGTATCGGACCACAAGAAAATGTCAAAAGAACATGAACAATATCCGTAAAGATGACGTCAGAAGTTCAAAATCGAGTAGGGGGTCACACGACGAAGTCACAAAGTCAATAACGGGTATGACCACCGTGTCTGTGAAGCACAGCAGTGCATCGAAGACGCATAGAGGCTACCAAATGAGCATTGAAGGCCTGGGGAATGGTCTGGGGCGTGGTCACTGCTGTCTGGAACCTGTATCTGAGATGAGTCACCCGAATCCACCTGTCCTGTCTTGGCGTCGTTACGTCGGGAACCCCCAGAACGTGGGTGGTCGGTGACGTCATTACTGTTTCGATAACGCCTGACCCATGCAGATATCGTGTTACGATGGCATTGGAAATGTGCTGCCACTTGTTGGCTCATTCCTGCTCGAACCATTCCAATGGCTTCATGACGTTGAGTAGATGTTAATCTTGGCATGATGTGCATGTGACTTCTCATGTGGATTTGTGAACGTTTGAATGACCAAAGATCCAGCTTTCAACAGTGACAGCAATTTCAGAGTTTCACATGTTGTGTGCAGCTGTATGGGCTGCACGTGCAGTAACACATTGTAAGGCCATAGGCCACCGTCAATGACGTCTCGTCGCCTGGCATGTGCATGAGCGTTTGATTGTCTCCAATACTTGCTATGTTCACAAATGTATTTATGTATAAATATGCTGTGTGCCTATATTTATATTTTCTGTGTGCACAGTTTCTTTATGTGGCCAGTATATAATGAATTTAAAACATCTCACAACAGGACAGGCCATCAATCAAGTCACGAAGCCTGAGTGACTGTACTACTGCATCAAGAAAAGTGGTAGTGATGATCAATCAAGCCATGCTCCCAAAAGGGTCTTACTGGTGAGATGTATAAAGCATACCTCGGTTTATGAAGATGACTCCAGATAATTTTCTATAGGACATGGAAAGGTGGCATGGTCTAGTAGTAAAAGCAGTAACCTGTTGCTCATCATGCCAATGGCCCTGGTTCTAACCCCTCTGGTACAAGTGAGTGAGTGAGTTTAGTTTTACGCCGCACTCAGCAATATTCCAGCTATATGGCGGCAGTCTGTAAATAATCGAGTCTGGACCAGACAATCCAGTGATCAACAGCATGAGCATCGATCTACGCAATTGGGAGTCAGCGAGCCTGACCACCCGATCCCGTTAGTTACCTCTTACGACAAGCATGGGTTACTGAAGATCAATATTCTAACCCGGACCTTTACGGGGTCCCTCTGGTACAATGTGTGAAGCTCTGTGTTCCGTCCTGATTGAAGTTGAAGTATTGTAAAATGTTACTTCTCTCCTGTAGGTCAGCTACATCCATGTATTTTCAAAGTACACATTTACTGCAGTTTCCTAGACATTTCAAGGCAACATGGTGCTGGAAATATGTATTTAGTGCAAATGAAACTTCACACTTCCCCTTCAGGCAGTCATATTGCAAAAATGTCATTTTGGTATTACCAATCAATACATGTGTGTCAAACTGACTTTATGAAACTAGTGTTAGAATTCTTCTGTTTCTTGAGTGCGAGCAAGGGATAATACATGAATTCTTACTTATTTTTTTATAAGTAAGTATGACACACAGCAGAATGTAACAAGTTGGAAGAAATAAGCCAAGAGAAAATGTATCAGGTGTATTGTCAATTGTTGCTTAATCCTCTTGAGCTCCCATTTAGAAACATACAATGATAGAAAGTAGTTGTATATTGGCAGTACTTGAGGGAGTATGATTTGTTTTCCACAGATGTAGTTGGGCAACAGATAAATTCAATGAGCTAACACTCTCTCCTAAAGAGCATGAGTTGCAGGACTCAGTAATGGGAGAAAGGGGCAAAAAGGAGAAATGCCAAATTTAAGGATTCGGACTTAAGTTCAAAAGAGAAGGGTGAACTTTGTTTCTGAAGTACAACTTGAAAAGTGTTCAATATCTTTCTACAAGACTTGGCAGAAATATCAAACAGATCTTGAAGTGGTGCATTTTGCTTTTTACAGATTTTTGGCATTTATAGGTTTGACTTTTTAAGGAACTGTCAGATAATTTATTGTTTCAAGTTTGTGGGGGCTGGGGGGATTTGTCACCATCTGATGACTTGTTAACATCCTTAAGAGGTTGCACATAATGTTGATACCTCATTAGAAAAGAATGACTCTATGGAATGCTGCAGATAGAATGTACTACGAGAGGCTTCATTTCTCCCTGCTTTCATATTTTATGCCTCCAGAAAGCATCTAAAACCACAGTCTTCCAAACTCGTATGTCGAAGATCCCCATAGGATGTGTGCAATCATCTTACTGCCTTAAACAAAAAACCAGGTTACCTGGGACCTAACCAAACCATTTTATGATTATGTTGCAAACTTTCCAAAATGATATCAGTTACAAAAACCCTGAATTCAAAACAACAGACACATATTTCTGTATTTATTTGTACATACAAATATGAGATGTCTAGGAAGTGATGACAAAATTGACCTCACGTGTGTCGTAGATCTTGCTGTGAGGGTCACTGCTGCCACACTTGCCATAACAGACATCTGGGAAAGAATGTTTTTGATAAGTCTCAAGGATAACCAAATACTTGTTATAAATGAGTCCTCAAAGTAATTGTAGCTGTGCAGTTGGGGCTAAGAAGTGGTCAGTCTGTCCCAAGTATTATGTATTTCTGTGAAGCTTTTAACATTACACTGTATACAGTATTACAGTACAGACTGGAAACGGTTCCTTGAGTTGTATCCCTCTTCAATAGCTTTTAACTTTGGCATGGTTGTGAGAAAGAAAATCACCAGATGTTATGTAATGTTTATGTAACCAAGCAAACTATCAAATGAGTTTCCAAAACTATATCTTTTCTTTCTTTACTAAGATATGGTTGGATGTATAAAAAGCATAGCTAAGTACAAGTGACATGCATATGTGGCACTTATCTGTCGCTTTAATACTAACTAATACTGAGTTTATAGTGTCCAGGCGACCACTTTTGGCAGGGTCCTTTCTTCGGGTCACAGTGGGGGTCAGGCTTGGCCATGAGGATGATTTTGTTAGAGTAGGTACCAGGTGGAGACCTAGGGATGAAGGAACTATCTCCTGTAAGGGAACATGTTTATCATTAAACTGCATGTGTTATCCATGAATAGGGAATGCTGCTCTCCAAACATGTAAAGGCCAATTGTGGTTGCACGATTTTGCTTGAATACAGCTAAACTGGGCATAAAACCAAACTGATTTTCTTTTTTGTTAGATTATAATGAGCAAACCATTGCAAAGGACCTGGGTCCCGTTCCTCAAAGCGATCATAGAGCTGATCGTAACTCCCATACTTTAACATAGACTTACGGCAGTCGTAGCGCTACGATCGCATTGAGGAACGGGGCCCTGACAATGTTCCAAAGACCTCACTGTGACTCACCAATAGGAAGTCCACTAGGTGGCTGAACAACAACAGCAATTTCTCCAGTTCCGGTCCCATTGTCGGATGTGTAGGAATAGCTAATTGTTCTCTTACCTGAAATATATTACAGAAGCAAATCAGTATTAAATGATCAAAAGATCTCCAAATTCTGACAGATCACTATTGTTCACCTACCGGTATATTTAACTTTGAGGCTGTGGGGAGAGAAAAAATAGACATAACAGCAAAGCATGGTTCAACACAACATGAAATCAAATACTTTGAGCAAATTCAGTTATGTTATTTGATTTTTATTTTATTTTTTGGGGCAACATCACCAATACTGAACATAATGTTTTAAGCGAACCAGAAGATAATCCAATTTAAAGAGAAAAAAACAAATGTCTCCAATGATGGAAATCCATTGACACTCAAATTAAGAATATGTGGTCATTTAATCTTTAAATGATGAAATATGTACCGGTACATATGTAAGTATGAAAGGTAATTGAGGTAGTCTAAATGAGCTTGACAGGCTCGCTGACTTGGTTGACACATGTCATAAGTTCCCAATTTTGCAGATCGATGCTTGTGCTGCTTATCACTTGATTGTCTGGTCCAGACTCGATTATTTTCCGACCGCCGCCATATAGCTGGAATATTGCTGAGTGCGGCGTAAAACTAAACTCACTCGATCACTCACTAAATGAGCTTGAAACAAAGCAATTTTTCACTATACCAATCACCAAAAGAATAAATATCATTTATCAGCAGGTTATGGACACAGATCCAGACTGAACACCCATGGATTGCTCTTTGTGAATCTATAATTGTCTTTCCAGGTTGATGACATCATGTCACTAAAGCCAATATAGGTAGTATAGGTTTTCGGACGACACTGATTACTCTCCCTGTAACATAACCCTTGTAACTAATTGGATGATGGCTTGTGTTTAGATAAAGTTGTCTTTAATAAGTTACATGTTTCACAATGTTCATGTGATTATCAAGACAACAGATGTTCTTGGCATCCGAAACCCATAACATGATATATGCAATCATGTTGGTAGCAAGATTTATATCCTTTAGATACAGGTATTTGGCTTAAGCATGCTTTAAATGAGACATGATCTATTTCTGACAAATGGCAAACATACCTTGAGGTGCCACAGGTGGTTTCACTGAGAGCTGTGTGATTTTGGCATCACCATCGTCAAAGATTGGGCACACAGTGAGAAGTTCACAGAAGTAGAATGAATCTAAGTTAGCCCTTTAGAAGGAAGAAGACAGTTTGCAAAAGGACTTCAGGGTAATACAATATGACACCCTGAATTGAGTACAAACTTTCAATTCCCAAGATATTTTTATAGATTAAACTTCTTTGTAATTTCTCTCACAACGTTTCGAGACCATTCCAGGTCCCTTCATCAGTCCCCTTCATCAGTTCACCTGATGAAGGGACCTGGAATGGTCTCGAAACCTTGTGAGAGAAATTACAAAGAAGTTTAATCCATAAAAACATCTTGGACATCAATGTACAACTTCTAAATGCCACTGAAAGACATCAGACTTTCAATTGTTAGATCTGTCTTGCATAAGTCTCAAGATATTCATTCCAGCATCATGAGCTCAAGTCAAGTTTAATCAATATAAGACCAAATTCAGTCCTAATGCGGAAAATAATTTTTTTAAGTTATCTTTGGCGGTGATGGCTTTAGAACTCAACTCAATTCACTGTTACAGTACATTACAGTTGCATAAATTATGTCATAAATGTATTTCTTTATTGGAATAACTTTACGTAATTGACTAATTGCACATCTTATAAAAATTGATTTGGCATACAATAAACTTCAGGCCATCGCTGTTTTGTATATGGTCAAGGGGAGGTAACCGCTTTTCTTCCACAAGTTAACTCCCTTGCCCAGAGCTCCGCACACCGTCTCCCATAAAACTTCACACACGGCGTGTGACTGAATCAAAGGGAGGTAATCATGTCGAACAAAAAGGAGAGTTATGTCCCCTTACCTCAAAGGGAGGTAAGTCTGTTTGAGAAACACGATTAACAGTTACTTCCCTTTGACCAACGAAGCCGGCCTGGTGTGTCTTTTCTATGTAGTGTGTCATCTACGGAAAAGGTCAGGCGGATCCAAATGAACCTTAAATTAACACGTTTGGATATTTTCTTCCATTATGCCGCTCTGTTGGAGTTAAAATGGACGTGAGATGGAGAAAAATAATCATCGAAAAAGGTCACCTTGTAGCTGTAGTTGTTAAGTTGGTTATGGTCAAAGGGAGATAATCGTGTTTTACAAGAGTTAACTCCCTTGTCCCGAGCTCCGCACAACGTCTCCCATAAAACTTCACACACGGCATGTGCCCTGAAGGAAGGGGAGGTAATCATGTCATACAAATGAAGAGTTCTGTCCCCTCACATCAAAGGGAGGTAAGTCTGTTTGAGAAACACGATTAACAGTTACTTCCCTTCGACCATCAACGAAGCCGGCCTGGTGTGTCTTTTCTATGTAGTGTGTCATCTACGGAAAAAGTCAGGCGGATCCAAATGAACCTTAAATTAACACGTTTGGATATGTTCTTCCATTATGCCACTCTGTTGGAGTTAAAATGGACGTGACATGGAGAAAAGTAATCACTGAAAAAGGTCACCTTGTAGCCGTAGTTGTTAGGTTGGTTATGGTCAAAGGGAGATAATCGTGTTTTACAAGAGTTAACTCCCTTGTCCCGAGCTCCGCACAACGTCTCCCATAAAACTTCACACACGGCATGTGCCCTGAAGGAAGGGGAGGTAATCATGTCATACAAATGAAGAGTTCTGTCCCCTCACATCAAAGGGAGGTAAGTCTGTTTGAGAAACACGATTAACAGTTACTTCCCTTCGACCATCAACGAAGCCGGCCTGGTGTGTCTTTTCTATGTAGTGTGTCATCTACGGAAAAAGTCAGGCGGATCCAAATGAACCTTAAATTAACACGTTTGGATATGTTCTTCCATTATGCCACTCTGTTGGAGTTAAAATGGACGTGACATGGAGAAAAGTAATCACTGAAAAAGGTCACCTTGTAGCCGTAGTTGTTAGGTTGGTTATGGTCAAAGGGAGATAATCGTGTTTTACAAGAGTTAACTCCCTTGTCCCGAGCTCCGCACAACGTCTCCCATAAAACTTCACACACGGCATGTGCCCTGAACCAAGGGGAGGTAATCCTGTCATACAAATGAAGAGTTCTGTCCCCTTACCTCAAAGGGAGGTAAGTATGTTTAGTAAACGCGATTAACAGTTACTTCCCTTTGACCATCAACGAAGCCGGTCTTGCGTGTCCTTTCGATGTAATGTTTCATTTACGGAAAATGTCAGGTGGATCCAAATGAACATTAAATAATCACGTTTCTATCTTAATGCGACTTTCTTGGAGTTAGAAATGGATGAAAAAGGTCACCTTGTAGCCAGTAGCTGTTGTAATGAAAAGAAAGTTATCGTGTTTGTACAAGAGTTAACTCCCTTGCCGTTTCGCATTAAACTTCACACACTGCGTGTGCCCGATCCATGAAGAGTTATGTCCCTTACCCCGAAAGGCGGTAAGGTTGCAGCCTGGTTCCCTGTTCCCTGTCGGAGCGTTAGCGCAGGCGCAACAGACCCAGGGAACCAGGCTGGTAAGGTTGTTTCGCAAATGTTAACATGATTTACAGTTACTTCCCTTTGACCGTCAATGGCACAAATCGCCAACTTCAATGACTTTTACGGGTGCAGTGCGTAAGTTACGGAATGGGCCAGATGGCCCGAAACAAAATTGAAATTGTAATTTGTAGCAAATGAAAGCATGCCAGTGATCACTCGGCATACATTTTGTTGTCTACAAAATTGTTAAAATTGTGCATGAAACCGTTGAGTTGTCTCCCTTGTCTCCATGACCCGAACAAGCTCCTTCTATACGAGTGACACCTATACTGTAGGGTTTGGATTGGTAACCCGGATACCCGGGACGGGTGGGTAATGAGTTGGACCCGGGTACCCGTTATGATCATGTGACTCATAGATTAAACAATGTAATATATATATCATTCTTTCATGATTAAAAGAATGTTTTGTCTTTTAAGATTTAAACATAATTTACAGTCACTTCATTTGAATATAATAAATGGGTTCGATATTTTAGCCTCCGAGCTGAAGAATATACTGTCATTTCAAATTTGATGTCAGGAATTAACATAACGGGTATCCGGGTAAGGTAGGGTAATAGGGTGTAGGGTACCCATGTCGACCCGTCCCAGCCCTAACCTACTGTATTTTACTAGTGCCATTGAGGCCACTGAAACTGAATGGGCATTTGATGTATGAGGTACGGTAGTACATAAATTTATCCGAGGTAGGTAAGCTGGAAATGCTAACCCTCGTTCTGATGAGCACAAAGGTCACATATACGCACTCACACATGCACACACATACTGCATATACATTTTCCTCCATCTCGACCAGACTGATAATGTCAAAGCACAAACGATAGCCTAGTGGTTCAGGGGCGGTTCCAGCTTTTATAGAAAGGAAGTGTGTGTGTGTGTGTGTGTGTGTGTGTGAAGAGAGAGAGAGAGAGAGAGAGATGGGGGGTGAGGTGTTGCAGTTTATTTTCACCCGTTTTCGCGCGAAATCCTTCGGGACAAATGGGGGATGGGGGTAGGGTGCGCTCTCTCTCACTCGATACTATATATGATGATTTAACACAACCTACTAAAAGTTATATTCAAAGATATGAATCCGGTCGTGAAAACCGGTCTTCAGCGACCCATGCTTGTCGTAAAGTGCGAGTAACAGGGTCGGGTGGTCAAACTCGATGACTTGGTTGCTGTTTATCACTGGATTGTCTGGTAAAGACTTTACAGACTGCCGTCATATAGCTGGAATATTACTCAGGGCGGCGTTAAACAGCAAACCAATCAACCAACTTTGTATTTAGAGTTGCAAAGATCCAAAAGGGTGGAAGGAATTTAGACATATTCTAGCTATAACTCTACGACTGTTGAACTGTTCTTTCACAAACAAAATTAACCTCTCACATTTGAAATTATACATTCACATTTAGAGATATTCTGTGGAAAGGTAGAGGGAGCATAGACCTAGCTCTGTTAACTTCGTCTAACAACACATCGTACATAGCTGTTGTGTAACCATCCCTCAGCACCTTTCCTTCCACCCACACACTGATACCGTGTATGGTTTGATTTCACTCACTTCACAAAGAGTTGAGTAAACTCCTGGATACCAGCAAAGTTGCAGAGGCGTCCACACATGGCAGCCTGTCCCTTGTCGCTGAGGGCTCCACACAGTTCAGTACAGGAACCAATAACACCACTGTCTGAGAGAAACAAGTTTCATGTGGGAATCCTAAACTAAACCGCAGTTGCTATTTGGCAATGGCATGTATACACACGTAATTCCAAAAGAGGTAGTACACATTTGCCAAACGTTACTGTGATTTCTTGATGAATGAACAGTAAAAGTCATCACATCACATCACATCACACCAACAATTGCATTTGGGGACTTTCGATACGATGCGTTGCGATCATTTTCGGGCTTTGTTAGAAGATGTAGTTAAGGTACAAACATGGTACATAAATCTTGCAGATAGTTGTATTTTCATTTGAAATTTTAGGCACATTTGTGTATTTGGTCATTTCGGGAGTTCAACATTAGAAAGAAATAACTAGATGATATCCACAACAAGACAATTCATAACTTTCATGCTGATATTTTAACGTTTTCTGCGACAATACAATTTGACCTTCCCAATCACCTAAATGGTCCTTATCCTGCCACTGTTGTTCCATGTCAAACTGGGTGCTGGTGTACAAAACAACCTTAGACTACCTTAAGTCTATGTTAAGGTATTGGAGTTACGGTCTTCTTAGCGCTAAGATCGCTTTGTACAACGACACGCTGATGTACATCTCTTATAAAGTAGAATTTAGCAAGATATTTCACACAAACTGTGTGAAGAAAACAAATATGCTGAAACATACAGATTCTGGGTATGTTTAAAGTTTGACTCCTTTTTAATAATCCTCTAGATCCATCTCGACAGTGATCCTTTTTTTATCTAATACAAATGGAGTGATCCGTGAATTATCACTGAATATGATCACGGTAATGTTTGGCTTTGAGTATATATAGATTAGTAACACATATTCATTAACGTCTTAATGGTCGACTGGCCTGACCAGAAAGAGAAAGATCGGTGGTTCAATCATACTGGAGGCGTCAGGAGATGGTACTTGTTGTTACTCCGCCAGGCTCAGCATTAGGCTCGGCTTGGAGTCGGTATTGCTCTATCAGGCTGATCATTTCAAAGTACAATAATCGGAGGTAACTTACATATATCCCTAAACTATTGTATTGCTTGTTATCGTTATATGCGACACATTTTGGTCCAAATGTACTGTATATGTTGAGGTTTCTTTAAGCTGCACTTGAACAAGTGTAACAGTATGTAGCAGCCCTTACTGAGAATGACGTTGAGAAGGTCAGCACCGGCTTGTCTAGTGAACTGGACACACGTCTTGCACTTGATGGCTGTTCCAGCGAGCTGATCTCCCCCTCCGACTGGCTGGCTGCGGTCAGAGAAGCTGGGCAGACACTGAACCCCAACCAGAGCCGCCAGAAGTACTGTCACCCCCTATAACACGGCAAGAATAGTTTCTTCTTTCACAACATGACACATCAGGTATTAAAGACGCACGAATCTTTAACCTGTTTATAGCATGACGTTGACGGATGTACGGAGAAACATCACCGATTTTTAGCCATCCATTCACATAAATGTCACTCCTATTTTGCCTTATACATACCTGGGATTCTGTGTGGGCAGGTAATCAAGAATGGCTGTATTATATATACTATGTAACTTTGAGAACAATTTCAATATTTACTATAAGTCATGTATTCGTATTAGTCGTACCTTGCTCTACAGTGTACGTACTGAAACATTCATCATCAGATCTGAGGATTACTTGCCACCCAGCTGTAGGTTAGTGTTGCTACATGACTTCCGTGTGTTGACTTACGTGACATGTTCTATGAATGGGAGCGACACTGCCCTCTCCATAAACATAGAAATATCTTCTAAACAAAGAGTCGATTTTGTGATTCCGACAATATCCCAAGCATGTGTTTATGAATCACTATGATGTAGTGCTAATACAGTTGTTCGCTTATCCTACTTCACCGCTGTCGCCCATCGCAAACATATGCAAAGGCAAACCAATCGGTCATCTAGACAAACAAATGTAACTCACGGCACAAGTCAAAATAGCAAATTGAGTCAAAAACAACTATTGTCGCTGATGCGCCAAACCTGGAAACGCCCACCGTTTGTCTATAATAACACCTTTTCAACGAATTTATATGATTATCCTAGAGAACTGGCATTCTCTTTGTTAAATATTATTGACAATTCAAGCACTTCTGAACTTGACAATAGTGTTCCGTATTTACTGTACCAGTATGTTTCAGTGCTATGTTAGTACGGTAACCCAAATCTGAGATGCTCCCAAAATGCGACAATATGGCGTTGAAGTCTCACGAAACGTGGTTTATCTCCAACATCTGTCAAATCACACTTCAGAACGAGGACAACATACACTATCTCAGTGAATATATAATTTTATCACAACTATTCATCAAACACTAAAAGCGGCAAGAAGGGGGAATGAGCAAGTTTAATCGCAATTATTCAACTGTATTGAATAACATGCTTACTTGTATCATTTATGGAGTGTATATTTGTTTTTGAAAGCAATTAAAATGCATCATACTTTTCTATCAGTCTTAAATTCACGACCTCTTCACTTGTGAATAAGTAGCCATCACTTACTATTATTTCAAACAAAACATAAATCGTTAACGTGAGTTACCTTGCCGTTCATTGTATGTAAATCCGAGCTAGGTCTACAGCAAGGGAAAAAAACACTCGGCGAAGATTTTCCTTTATAAAGCCTGGTGTATGGGAACCCGGTCGGGACATTTATATATTACAGTATTGCTCCCCTGAATAGACATTCAAACAAATTCAAGCACTGCAACCTCTGTCTGTGTATGTCCCCCTGACCACCTGTCTCGTTCGCCATGCATATTTGCAGCATTTTCCCCGTAAGTCTATTAGTTAAGCATGCATGTGAAGCTCTTAACTCTGGTTGTCGGGTTGTCATACTCGTTGACTTGACATGTCATCGTGTCACACTTGCGAGGACCGTTTGGTAACGCTTGTGTGAAACCTCCCAACTTTTGGTCAACCGCTAAATATATGCCGAATGATCAGCGTGTATTGATTGATCAGGTAGCCATTTTTCGCAGGGTTCCTTTCTCTGGAGCCTGGTACCGTGGTGGTAGACTAAGGCTTAGTCTCTGAATATATATAATTTTGATAGTAACAAACAAGCCCATTTATATTGAAAAGGAGCCCTAGGGAGACCAGAGATTCAGAACCTGAGGAAATCTAGACTTGCTTTATTTAGGGCTTTAGCACTGCAAAGAGGGCTTGGCATTAGGGAAATCAATGTGGTTCAGGGACTGTGAGACAGACTACCGTGGTGGTGGTGGTGGTGGTGGTGGTTCCGGTGTAGCCATGAGCATTCTGCCGTTGCAGTTGGGCCCGGCGCTGACCTCTGGATGAGGAAACGATCCACACGGGTCTCTATCAAATGGTGATGATACTAAACGGTGAGTGTAGCCTGACCCGTCGGCGGCACCCTTCACACCAACACTTGAAACGGCAAGTTTAAATTAGTTACTACACCAGGCATCTTTTTGTCACTGATATCGTCAAAGTTCTTCCTTGAAAGCTCTACCAAGTCATTGAGTGTTATAACCCTGGTGAGTCGACGCAGATGGAGCAAGAAAGAAGCTTTTGGTAATGTTCCTAGAAGGAGCACTTACGTCAAAATTAAGAAATGTTGGCACCAAAGGCCATAGCTGATGGAATATTGCTCTACATAAAGGAATAATTAAGACATAACAAGTGAAGACTGTAAGTGACTGTCATGGATGGACGCAGATGAGTCAGTTCGGATGTAAAGATGTCCATGAGATACAGCTAGGGGCTTGAAACATCTGTACCGTGACATACTACCTAGATGAATGTCTTCCCTCCTCGAAATCAAACGTACCCTTGGTAACCGATGTCACGACGCATGTCAGTTGGCACTGCCTAATACAGTCTCCTACAGTAAAAACTAACTCCGTGGCGCCCCGTTTCTTTGTTCGCAGTTACTTTCGTGGTCTAATATCACTGGTCGGAACATTACGTTTAACATTTTCGACCGAATAATGTCACAGCTCGACTCAAAAATTCAACAGCAGTACGGCTACGTTCGGTAACTAAGCCTATGTCCACATTTGCACAATGCATCCGTGTAAAATGCAACTTTGTAAGAAATGCGTTTGTATTGATGAGTGCGGCGTTCAACAACATTCACTCTCATACCACCATGTAATGGTGATGACGCGTTTTACACGTCATCTGAAGCCCTTAAGGTTATCAAGCTGAAATGTGTGTGTTTGATTTCATAATCATGTGTGCACGCAAGCTCTCAATACCAGGTCTGTACATGGTAATTTGAAAATGTCCGCGACGTCAGCTTTATTGGATGTGTCAGTTTTGCCAATGTATCGTTGTTAACTGGATGTCTGCATCTTCTGAATACCTCTGAACACACTATGTGTTACTCGATGTTGATACGGGTATCATGGTTGTGTTTTGGATCTGAAGTTTGCAGTGTTTCGGCGACGGTTTTAAGCCTAGACACGTTTTGATTGCTTTTCTGATGTTTTTGTCTATTGTAATTTCCAAGCGTATACCCGGATATTTAGTTCTCCTTCCATCATACTGTCACATTATGGCACGAACCGTTCTTATCTAAGTATCGAAAGGTTAATTCGTGTGTAATGTATAATTAGATATTGACCTTTCTGTCAATCGATGGCCAGGTAATAGTACCAATATTATCGATGGACTAAGGCAGGTATTCAGTTCCTCGAGGTAAAGTAGGCTCATCCCCATTGTTACATCCTTACTTTCTAATAATTTCCTTCCCTGTCTGCATTCGTTAACGACAGCTGTAAATTGTGTCTATATAAAAGTGTGTATATATGTCATCGTATCCCAATTGCGTAGATTGATGCTCATGCTGTTGATCACTGGATTATCTGGTTCAGACTCGATTATATACAGACCGCCGTCATATTTACAGCTGGAATATTGCTGAGTGATGCGTTAAACAACAAATAAACTTTGTTCTTTTGTACTCTTTTAACTATTACATATGAAAGATTTGTGGTTAGACTTATGCGGAACACCAAATTCATTCTTAAAAAACTTGTGGTTAATTAATACCGAGCGATTAAAAGTTGCCAAAAAGTCGCCTGCTTCACTCTCGCCCGCCAACGAAACCACAGACAGGTTACGTAACTCTGTCGCCAGAGCACTGCAGTGACGTCATATGAGGAACGATTTTCAGTTAGTTGTATCAGGGAGACTATATAAGTTGTAGAGTATCCCTGGTTGTATAGAAAGTGTGTAGCATGCTCATCAACAAACAGCGTGTACATATATGACAGAGTATGATCGAGTGGCTGATAATCAGACATGACTACTAAAGGTTGAAAATGTCTTTTGTTATTAATGTGAATGTCCATAACGTAATGAGTTGCAATCTTTTGGGTCTTGTGGAAAGACCGGTTGCCCGGGGAGCGTGATGTGGTGTTACTGTCCTCGGTGGCTTCATTCCCATACTTCAAGCTCTCGGCACTCAAGGGGTAAAACAAAGAGAGGTCGACTCAGAGTCAGTATACGTTGTCCGTGTGACGTATTCATGCTGAACCCGTCATGGTAGTGTAACACTTAGTCTGTCTCACAGTCCCTGAATCACATTAATTTCCCTACTGCCAAGCCCTCTCTGCAGTGCTAAAGCCCTAAATAAAGCAAGTCTAGATTTCCTCAGGTTCAGGTCTGAATCTCTGGTCTCCCCGGGGCTCCTTTTCAATATAAATGGGCTTGTTTGTTACTATCAAAATTATATATATTCAGAGACTAAGCCTTAGTCTATGTAACACTATAAAACCTTCTCCAAGAAGCCACACGTGCAATGATATCTTGAACATGACGTTTTAACCCTTCTCGCCCCACCCTTATGTTTCAACTATGGCGGCCATATAGAAATAGTAGGCTATTTGTATAATCTGTGATTATGAACGCTGAGTGTACGCAAAATACTACTCTACAACAAGATACTGATGTGAAAGAAGATTACCTTGGCACATTTTGTTCACTTTTGCATGACCTTGTTTTCTCAACTTAACTTGTACTTCAATATTGCAGAGTATCAGGGGAGTTTACATAAGCATTTGGTTCTTGTACAAAATCATACGTAAGAACGAAAGGTTTGTTTACACATGTATTCAACCATACAACAATGTCTAGGCAGAGATGACGAACGTGGTGTTGCGCATGTCGTAGATCTTGCTGTGTGGGAAATTGGCTCCACATCTGCCATTGCAGATACCTGGAAAACGATATAATGGTAAGTAAGCCGATAGATTAACTGTTATTCAGAATTAAATAAATACTGTTTAAAATCGAGTTATCGACAAAACACACTTAAAATGTCATCCACGTAATGCCAAATAGGCCTATCTGACAGCGATATCTTAAACCACACACTTGCAGTTTAATTTGATGTAAATTAGAAACAAACATAACACTAACGGGTCCATAAGATACACATGCACGGTATGACTCTAAATGCTACATAATAGACTGTTTTTAATATAAAATGCTACATAACAGACTGTTCATGAATATAAAATGCTACATAATAGATTGTTTATGAATATAATCTGCAACATAACAGACTGTTTATGAATATATAATAGGAATATGCAGTAAGCCTCACGTCTTGTTTGAGTGAGTATTCTTTTTACGCCGCTTTTTGGCAATATTCCAGTAATATGAAGGCAGAGAACACTCGAAATGAGATGTACCTAGACAGGGAATCGAACCTGGGTACTTGGCATGATGAACGCTTTAACTACTATGCTAAACTAACGTTTAAACTGCATCGACACAACTGATAACCTAATGTTAAGGGTATAAATAAGAATTATGGTATCTTGTACACTCACCCAGAAATAGTGTGTAGTTTCCAGGAACCCACTTTTCACATGCTTCCTTGTTAGGATCACAGGGTCGACGGGGGATAGTCGTGAGGGTAACACTGTTGCGGTAAGTGCCTGGCGGAGACTTCGGGATGAGGACACTATCGTCTGTGAAGGGAGAGTCGCTAATGAGACTGAACAGCGTTTCAGGTATTTCAACACACACAACTAAAGGTGGAAGAAGTAGCGTAGGACATATAAGTTTGTTGATTAAGGTGAACCCAACAAGCTTCAGTATCGTCAGTACTGACCTGGCAAACCAAAGGCTGTAACAGAGTGGGCAACGAGTATGAACTTGAGTATGAAAAATCGCAATCAGTCAGGTCACAGGTCTCCCAGTCCTTGTTATGACAATATTATCCCTCAGGGGACCCAGTGAAGGAGGTTAATATTAAATGATTGGTGACACCGAAAGTCAACGATTCGGTGTTTCTTACACATCATGGAACTTTACGTATTTCATTGTACATGTTTAGTAACAACAGTAAAGCTACTGTATAATACAGTATGACTTACCAATGTGATAACCATCAATTGTCTCAACAAGCAGGACAGCTTCCCCTGTTCCGGTTCCCTTATTGGAGGTGTAGGAATAGCTTATTGTTCTCTTGCCTGTAACAATTCCATACACAAATCAGTTGGCCTATTTATGGTTTCATATCGTTACATAATGTTCACTTTCAGGCAGCCCTTTGACAATCTGACATATGTTTGTATCACTACGTCCCCAGTCATGGCGTATACAATCCCCGAAGTATTAGAGATGTCATATACAGTGATTATCTACTGCAGTCTGGCCTTGTGGACCCCTAAATGGTTTGATGAAATATACACATGGAAAGAAGTATCGCACCGCCCCATATTTTTCATAGTATTAATATACTACTCACACTTTGCTAAGGATCACAAAAATTCGCAACTTTACTTAAACGTAGATTTATAATTTGAAATTGTATCCATTTAAAACTAGATAACTAATGCTATGGTAACACATCTTTAGGAAAACGGCCACTTTAAGCTAACCGTATGTACACGATACATGAGTAACCATAAAAAAAGTTTTCATGGCACCAATCAACCATTTTTGCAAATCATGGAACGAGTCACTGACAAGTACACAACACCTGTCAATAGCAGGTATGGGATCCACAAGATGCAATGACATACTGAAACCTAGGATCCATGCTTACAATAGGCTTAGATATTTAAATCAAATGTGACCCCACATCATAGTTTTCTGTTGAATCAATGATTTGATCCTTAGCAAACTGTGAATAGTATATATGTTACCATTAACCACAGCAAGGGAACTTACCTTTAACTAACTATCAAAGTACACTGACCCTCCAGGAATCATTAAATGCCAAATCTACAACTGTCCTAGTGCTGATAACCATGTTCGTGTGACGTTAACAAATGCGGTTAGTTTCAAGATTCCGGCATACAGTCCTCACAGAATCACACACGTGTCAATAACTAAGTGATGAACCATTGTCCATTCATATTTCTTCTGATCGTCACAAGGTTCACAATCATGTGAGAGGCACCCCACACCATCAAAGAACCCCTGCCAAACGGTACTTGCTCCAAGATATTCCCTTGTGCATATGCAGTGTTTCTGCGGCGCCAAACATGTTTCATGAACAAATGAATCAACTTTTGTCCGACAAGTGGACCCTTTCCTATGACGTCAAATTACAGTGACGTCGAGCTTGACGTTGTGCTCTGGGGATAACGATGCACGTCTACCTCTATTTCGGACCGTTCTGTTTGACAGAGTGGAATCCAGTCTGTCTTTAACACGCCATTTGACATAAACGGATGAAATCTTGTGATTCTGAGGAAGGCTGTGTTCTCCCTTGAAGTTTTCACACGTGGTCGGCCTGAGTGATGCTGGTCCTTAACGTCATTAGTTTGCTGCTGTTTTCTGGCCAGTCGGCTGATAGTCGATGGGTGACACCAACATGTCTTGCAATTGTCCCCAATGACATGCCAGCATTCCGCTTATCAATAACTTGTCATCTTTGAGCAGTTGTCAGTTGACGAGCCCACGTATTTGCTAACAAAATCAAGTGAGTTTTCAAGTTATAGAGTTGTAAGAACAGTTTACTAAAACTGGATATTTGCTTATCGAAACCCTGAGCATACTCTTTAGGCACAATACCCAGCGCGCGTTCCCTACAACAGGGAATTGGTGACTGCCAAATATATAACTTTGAACAAAACAAATACCATTTCCCTAAATAACATCAAATGTGGTGAGATTATAAACTACTGAATGAGGTATGTAATCATCATGCACTGTTATACTAGACAAAGGTTTTCACTACGTACGGCGGAAAGGAATATAGTGCTGTCAGTGGACAGCCTTATCTAGCTCTGACAGTGGAGATCATACCTTGTGGGGCTATTGATGGGTCAATTGACAACTCTGTGATTTGGGCATCACCGTCGTCAAATCCGGGGCACAGGGTTATGAGTTCACAAAAATAGAAGGGGTTTGTGTCCGCCCTGAAATGATAATTACATCTATTGGGTATTCGACCACCAAAACACTTCGTTGATGCCCCTAAACGTTAGCCTGTATGAAATCGAGCCTTTTCCAACAAAGTCGTATTTTGATCATCGTCCCTTTTCGTCAAGTTACAATGACACTCGGTGAACCCATTCACGGAATCAGCAAGTACGAGCAGCAGCACTGACTACCTAGTGGACCTTCTTACTCTGAATGGGGACTATTGATTTGTATAGGGATCGCATGTCTTAATGTTTAGTTGCACCTTGTTCAAGTACAAAAACGTGAAGAAAAAACAAATTCTGATACCAATATTGCTTTAGGCTGGAATCGAAAGGACCAGCATATTTTAGAAACAATTGTAAAAGATCACAAACTGCATTGTCCTTTCTTTCAAGTCTATCTATAAACACTAACGTTACTGACTTCGCTTTAACATCCACACCTTATGCTTGCTGATATCGTTTAACTCACTTCTGGAAGTGTTTAGCAAATGCAACTAGACCAACAGATTTGCAGAGACGACCACACATGGGAGCCTGACTCTTGTCACGGAGCAACGCACACAGTTTTTCACAGGAGCCATGAGTACCGGTATCTGCAAGAAACATGTAGCAAGTTCTACACTGGATCCGATGGCATCATCGACATGTTACGTTTCTGTTCATCCAATATTGTGCTATCATATACTTGAATACTGTTAAACTTGTGATAAATTTGATAAAGGTATGTACAACTGGAAGAAATACCTTGTCAGAGCAAAATGATTTTTGTCGACCTCTGCAAACCAAACTCTCTGCCAAATAGTGTCCCCTCAAACATCCACAAGTTGTTTGATCGATTTTACAATATTCAAGGCCTTGGTAAGATTCCAACAGATTATATGGAAACATGTGTTCAAGACGTTGCCATTTTTAACGCATCATTGACATGGATTATGTGTGATGTAATTCACCATTATGTTACCATGTCGTTTTTTTCTGTTGAAAGATCTGCTTGTGTTTGCACGTGTTTGGGGTAGGATACACTCACCTGTCGTCTTCTTCTGTTGAAGGATCTGCTTGTGTTTGCACGTGTTTGGGGTAGGATACACTCACCTGTCGTCTTCTTCTGTTGAAGGATCTGCTTGTGTTTGCACGTGTTTGGGGTAGGATACACTCACCTGTCGTCGTCTTCTGTTGAAGGATCTGCTTGTGTTTGCACGTGTTTGGGGTAGGATACACTCACCTGTCGTCGTCTTCTGTTGAAAGACCTGCTTGTGTTTGCACGTGTTTGGGTTAGGATAAACTCACCTGTCGTCGTCTTCTGTTGAATGATCTGCTTGTCTTTCCACGTGTTTGGGGTAGGATACACTCACCTGTCGGCGAACACCTTGCGCCATCGCTATTTAATAGTGATTCATTAACACATGCTTAAGGTAAACTTGTCGTACAACCAACACTTCTTTTAGTAGATACATCTTATCATTATTGAAATGGCTTTAAATGTTCATGCAAATATTTACTTTAGACATACGTGTGCACAGAGCCTAAACAAACACAAATTGTCACCTGGCAGATGTTTCGCATCTCAGTCTCTGTTTGAATACGCACTGTCTTGTAGAAATTTGTCAAATGCAACATATGTTATGTTTGGGATTACACTTTCTCAGTAAATTACAGATTTTAGTACTTTTTGGAGGTTAAGTTCGGGATTCGAACCCTCAAACTCAGAGTAAGGCACCTAATCGCCAGCACAAAAAGTAAGCCATCTAACCCACATAGCCACATCGGCTTCCACACGAATGAAAGTCTGACAACAAATCTTCACGCGACTGGTAGTCCCAAAGTAAGCCATCTAACCCACTTAGCCACAGCGGCTTCCACACGAATGAAAGTCTGACAACAAATCTTCACGCGACTGGTAGTCCCTTGTTTATTAAGTCAGTGTAATCCAAAATATAACATGTGTTGCATTTCACAACTTCCTACAAGGCATTGTGTATTCATAGCTTCTGCAATGGAAGCCGTGCCAATTACAGAGAGGTACACAAATTACTCTGAGCATAAGACTCAACGTCCAAAAATCTAGAATCTGTACTTTGCTGAGTCTCTATTTGTTTTCAAATAATGGAAAATGTGGCGTTCTTGCAGGAAGATTTCATGTACCATCTTTGAATCAGCCTACAGCAGTGTTCAGAGGAGATGACATTGTCTAGACATTGTATACGTTGGACCCTTACTGAGAATGATGCCAAGGAGATCCACACCGACGTTTCTAGTAAAATGAATACATGTCTCGCACTTAACGGGAGTGCCAAGGGCTTCACTTCCGGTGATCTGGACTTCCTGTGTTTGGGCGTGATGGAAGAAACTAGGTAGACACTGGACCCCAACCAGAACCCCTAGGAATATCGTTACACCCTGCAACAAAGTCCATATCATTATAAACACTGAGTATCAAACAGATGCAAACTAGTGATGTAAATGAAAGTCATATGAGTGTCCATTCGACTGAGGTGTATTTAGTCTTGGGAGACATTTTCCCAGTGTGATTTTGATAACCATACATAGATCTTGGTCAAATAACCGATGCAAACATACAATTAATCATTTGTTTAAATGAACAAATTCGCCAAACAGTTCTCCCTTTTTAACTGTACTAAAAGACGGGAATACCATGATGGGATCATATTAAAATTTCCCCAGAACTTGTAGTTGATACACTGCCCAGGATTACGGTCTCAATCAGCCTTAGATCTCGTAACTTTCATCTTAAACTCCATCATTGTTCTCACATTATATGTCATCAGATTTTCATTCCATACACTTGGCCTAACAATGCTCCAAGTTTTTGAAGATATAGAAATAGTCATCTTGTTAATACACTCCTCATCCCCACCTCTCAAGTCCAGAATAATCAAATGTTTCCGCTTTAATTCAAAGTGACGTACTCAAGTCAGTCCCGGGTAGCAATTCCCTTCTTACCACAGCCCTCTTCCCACCGTTCAACCCAAACCAAACAAATAAAAGATGACGTATAAAACAAAACAAACGCATCCCCTACATATGTTGAAAGCACACATTACACACAGCAATACCTTCAATTAACCCTCTTTCCATGAAACTTGTACATGCATCTCTGTTTATGTCTGCATTAGCAACTGAATTTTTACTTCCAAAAAGACGCCCCGAGTAACAGAGGCTTCTTTCAGTTTACAATGAAGCTTAGCCGAGATAATCGATTTTGGTATCAGATGATGAACATGACATATACATATTTTGTACTTGAATTGAACAATATTAATTTTTCATTTGCAAATAGCCAAAGTAAGTTGATTTTGCAGGTAGCCAGTGATTATGTCATTATTTGGTATTTTTGTGGTCATGTTTCACGCAATCTGGATTTACATGGTAGCTGTGTGAAGTCGAGGCGGGTTGTAAGGTTATTCTGGGAAACAAAAATCAGCTTATCTCAGACATATGGCAAACCCACAAAGCTAAACGAGGGCATGCTTCGACACAGTGAACCTTATACTTTAATCATGTACTGTTTATCTAACAAACATACGTCACGCATTATTTTTCTAGCTTGCAAATAAAAACACCAAGCATTATATAAGACATTTTGGATGCAATTGTAATCTATTGTAAATAAATAAAACTTCGACATTTTTTTACCATTGTCCACCTTTGCATTGGAATCTTTACCGAACTGTTACAATGAATGAGGTCATCTTTTATAATTACGACGCATTTGATTAGACATGGAAAGAAGAAATTCAGTGTGTGAGTTACCTTGACGTTCATTGCAGGTAATATTCCACGCCGGATTTAGAGCCTTGAATGGATGCATTGCAAATATGCTCCTATATAATGCCTAGTGTATGGAGGCCTGGAAGGGACATATATGTATGTATCTGGTTCTCCTAAAAGGAAATTCACAGCTGTTATGTTCATAACATGTTCATTCCGCAGTTAGTTCCTCATCCTGATAATGGGTAAGCCGACTGAAACCTGCATCCACACCCTACAATCCTCTTTATCAACTATCTAGTGCCTCTCCAAAACCCTTATATGACAAATATACATTTTACTTTAGTCCGAAATCTCCAGGGAATTATCACCATTTTATGGCATGTGAGAAATGTGTTAGGTTCTATGAATGGCATTTTATTTAGAAACATAACATGGATGTGATCTTCATTTCTCAATGTATACACTGCATCGCCCTGAACTAGACACGACATAATGTAACGGACGTACAGGCTCTTTGTGTATCGTTACCTTATAATTTATTTATAAAACCCGATGGCCAATATTACGAAGTTTTTAATTTTTGTTAATGACTGTTTGTTATTCATTGCTGCATTCAGCACCATTTCAGGTATACGACATGCACGTAATCGATTGTGGATCAGAAACACCGGAGGCTAGTCTTGCTTCAGTACTGTATTTTCTCACGTTAGGCTGTGGTTTGTCCGTTTGACTTTAGAGGAAATATAAATGTCGTAGCATAGAACACAACCTCCACATATTCATCAAGCAAAAAAAAACTTCCGCTTATGTTTTTTTATTCTTTGAAACAATAGCCAACTTGAACACTCAGAACTCTAAATGGGTGAAGGACGGGTCTCAGGGGAAGAAATATTGCATACATCAGGTGGACATTTATGATAATTTATGTCGAGTATGGGAATGAAAGTTTTTATTTTAATTTTTAAGGGATTTTAATTAGCTAAGGAAGCAATAGGCAGAGTCAGACATACAGTAATTTTGATGAATGTTTATATTACGGTATGAGTTTCCTTCATGTGAAAAAGATGAAAGCACAACAGAAAGCAGAACCAGGTGTATGCTGTAATTATATTTCATTCCAGGTATTCTTGGATAACATGCTTTGATGAACAATGTTGATATCAAATATCAAACTATGTCGCATTAGATGTATAGCAACGACTTCTTAATAACAATACACGTTTTCTCCCATGCATACAGTTGGCAGCTGAGTCATTTACACAACCAAGCAGTATATTTCTATCTCTGCTGATGGCAGTGTTCATCGACTACCTAGCTGTCATTAAGTGTCTCCAGCTGAAACCACCAAAGCCATCCACCAGAAGATGGCACCTAAAACGATGCTCAGTGGCAGAAATCCCGGTCATCGGCTAGAGTAGGTCTGCCTTCTAAGGATTCCTATTTGGGTTGTGGAAAGGTTTGTATACCATTAAATAGTCCTCCTCATCTTCCTAATATCTAGTATCTTATTCTTTTAAATCTATATGTTTTACGGGTAATATATGTCTGCAAACTGTTTATAAACAAATATGATTTTGAAGATTGTAAAAGTGAGATCAGAATAGTCTTTCTAGAAAATAACTGAATTCATGCAATCAAATCTCTTTAGTCGTTGGGGATCGACTGAACACTTCGATACAGCAGAGCAAGAATTATAGCATTGTCCATGGTGTGTGTGAAATACCCACTCTGTCGTGTGATGAAACGGTCTTAGAGTAAAGGACAGGAGTTGTCACAAAAATATTAAACGTCGTATGTTCGGTAAAAGGAAAAAGATCAAGAAAGGTGTTACATATTTCATATTTATTACATGTACATCCTTCCAACACGACACATCTATTCAGTGATGCGGAAAGAGATGGAACGTCTGTCGTAGATCTTGCTGTGGGGATGGTCGCTGCCGCACTCACCATTGCAGATATCTGAAGGAATATGATATATGCTATCTGGAATATATACATTATGAGATTTCACATTTTCGGGTTACTATGCAGTAATATGCAATGCCCTGAATCTTGCCAGCCTGTTTAGTTTAAGATACATATTGATCCAACATAATAATTATCAAATTGATGTGGCGTCCATTTCACAAAGCTGAATTGCAAAGATTTCAGACTGTAACACAAACTCCCATTCATTGTACCAAATGTTAAGACATACGCTTCGCAGATTGTACACCTTTGTGTAAAAATGGAACTCAGGCCTTTAACACGACGAGCGTACGAAACAACCAACAGAGTTCCCCACATCCAGATCTAGGCTCATCAAAATCCGACAAGGAGATCCTGGTGTTGTTTTCGAAGAGATTTCCAACCTGCCAAATGTAGAGAACCAAATGCCAGACCCGGGTAGTTAATTGCATCTTGCACTCACCAACACGGAGGGTGTAGTTTCCTGGTAGCCACTGCTCGCAGGGTCCCTGGGACGGGTCACAGTTGGGGTCGGGCTCAGCCTTCAGAGTCATACGAGTTGGGTAGGTGCCTGCTGGAGACTTCTGGTTCAGGAAACTATCCTCTGTGGATGGATAAGTAAACGTGGATTACACTACTGGACATTCAGTGGAAACAAAATATTCGACCTTATGGTGATCATCGTCAATGTAACGAGTGCCGATAATTATTACACCCAGTTATATTTAGTTTAGGTCGCAGGGCCGATAGTAACATGTGACATCGCATTACCATAAAACATATACAGGGACAAGTTGTAGTCGTGTATGAAGGAGTCTGTAGTATTGGGAATGTCAAGAAAACCATGAATGTTGTGTCTTCAGGGATCGAACCATTCATAGTTATTAATACTTAGCCAGTTTACCTTGGCCACACAGTTAAATCGTCTGTATGGTTGAGTCAAAGGTTTGTGACATCTCTGTATTTTACCTTATAAAGTATGATACTGGCTACAAGTCAGGTAGACAACTGCCTGCACTGTCTAAACAGAATCTGGAAAACGTGTTTGTTTGCCTCTTGTTAAATCCATTTATCAATAGGCCAGATGGGACGAGCGAAGAACGATCCAACGAGATGGAGGTACGATGACAAGCAATAATCCAAATCGTTGAATCTGACCACCCAATCTATTAAGTCGCCTCGTAAGACCAACACAGGTTGCTAGGTCCCCAGTCTAGGTCCTGGGGGCTGAATATCATTGGCGGTTGGACACTTACCAATTGGAAGCCCATCAAGTGTATCTACCACAACGACGATCTCTCCGGTTCCGGTCCCGTTCTTGGAGGTGAAAGAAAAGTTGATTGTTTTCTGACCTGAAGTATAATGAAGGATCAAGCCATTACCAAGCATTACCTCCTCTGGTGGTTTCTCCGCACAGGAGCAGTATCATAGTTGGATACATATATTTCTCAGTTCGAAACTGCATTCTCCAATCCATGTGAGAAGAACAGTATACCGGTGGTGTTCTTGGCAACCTCATTGAGAAAGAACTCATTCTTTGGGGTGGGGTGGGGGTTTATGTTATATATAGTGATGGAATACGGTGATATATATTCATACCCCACTAGAGTGAGATTACACTTTATACCGGAACTACTTTCAGGTGGCTTAAAGATACAGAGTAACATCACGTAGATCGGAAAGAAAATACATAATGAACAGAATAATTGACAGAATTGTCTTGCCAGACAACATATTTCTATTCCCATGGCCTAATGCTGTTCATCATCTTGAGTGCGCCTTTCATTGAACTATCAACGTTGTCATTCCGTGAAATAAACGTGTCATTTGACCATATTAGTGAGTAGCAGTAGCTGACCTACCTTGGGGCCCTGATGCTGGGACGATTTGAAGCTCCGTGATTTTGGCATCACCGTCATCAAAAATGGGGCACACATTAAGAAGTTCACAGAAGTAGATAGGGTCAAGGTCAGCTCTGCAAAGAAAAGTGAAAATAGTTCACTGAGGAGGGATTAGGTATATTTCTTTTCTTTAATGCAAACGTATATTTTCAAAGCAACTTCTTTAGAATTAAGACATGTTTACGTAACTATGTGTTGTGTGACATGCGTGCATTACCAGCATGAACTGAAAGAAACAACCATGCATGCAGGTACAGTGACTGTCGACCTAGTTCGTGATGCTGGCAATACTGATACTAAAGCCTGGTATATTTTGATGATATCAACTAAATCCACGTCGAGGGACTCGTCAGACAAGCACGATATTAGCGTTTGTTAGCTGCTCACCTAAGCACTATGAATAAGACAGCGAACCAAATCGCACATGTCAAATAATCGAATGTCATATTTCGCGCGCGTGTGTGTATATTATATATAAGTATAAAAAAGTAAGTATTAAAATAAAAAATAAAATCATAAGGGGTCCCAGAAGAAATAATAATGTCAGGAGCTGAGACCATCTAGACCAATTATTCTAGAATTGAGTAGGCCACCTTTATTCCTATATTCTCATAAAAAACCCAAATCATGCTAATCTCCAGAAAAATTCACATTTCTTGAAAAACGCAGTTTATTTTGTTTGTCACAACGTAAAGTAAATTCTTTATCGCATTATAGGTATTATGATACGTGTAGAAATCTTCCCTAAGGAATAATTGCTATGCTTCGTGATACTATTTTAGCTGGCGAGGACCATACAACACTCCTATATTTAACCTGAATTTTCGTTAAATAAACCCGTGTTTATACTCACTTCTGAATGAGCTTCACAAACTCATCAATACCAGCAATGTCACAGAGAAGATCACAGACGACCGCCAAGGCTTGACTTCCTGTCTTCTGACCAAGAGCTGCGCACAGTTTTTCACAGGAACCAACTACTCCAAGATCTGCAGGAAGTGCATCAACGTTTCCTATACTCCGTTGTAATCCCTGTGATAACTTACATCATGGCTGAACATCAAGATAAGTCTCAGGCGTCTTTCAAGACATCCATGAATATGTATAAATATGTTCTCAATATGATACACAAAACTACATGAAAAGAGTTGGAATCGCCTGATCGTCTAATTACATATATGCATATACATTTGTCCGCTCATCTAGATACAGTGCAATCTCGAACCTTGGACTCAATGAGCTTACTTTTGAATTGCATCGTATGTGTCGATCTATGTTTTAGTTGCTCAACTTGTCGGGGAGGTAACAGTTACTTTGAATAGTAATCCAGGGCCTGGATTTTCGAAGCTCTCTTAGCGCTAAGATAGTCGTAAGTTAATGTTAATGAATGGCACTTAAGACTATCTTAGCGCTAAGAGAGCTTCGAAAATCTAGGCCCAGAAGGACAAGAGTTCGTTACTGAGAGAGAAGGCAGGCCAAAATACGAAAGTCACTACGGTCACAAACTCAATATGTCACTGACAGGCCAAGGATCACTGTCGATTCTCAGTACGTGGTTTAAGGGATTTATGCTAACATGGATACTCTTGAGATTAGGTACGACTTTTGTATTGCAGAACATCCACGATCACAAGCCCCAACAAGGACACTTACTGAGAATGATGTTCAGAAGTTGATCAATGGCTTCTCCAGTGAACTGGACACAGGTTGGACAAAGGTCGAGGGCTACCCCTCCAAAGGGCGGGATTTGTTTTGTCATGGTGACGTGGTGTGTCTTCTTTGAATGGCGGGATGGTTGGACAAAGCTGGGGAGGCATTGTGCCCCCACCATAGCCGCCAAAAATATTGCTACACACTGAAAAGAAAAATAAATACCTGTATCATACAATCTGAAGACAGGCAGAGGAACTGCGACTGGTTTAATATTAGTGTCCTGAACTGGACAAACCAGTAACTGAACGCACTCATAAACAATAATTATCATCGGTAGGGTACGGCGTAACGCCATACCTATATACCAATTACGACAACCATGAGGTACTAGGGATCCCCACAGATACAAGCGTTATGTACTTGGAACCTGCTCTGACTCATGAGGTACTAGGATCTATTCAGGTCCAGAAATCCCTAGGGTATTTCCTATCTCTACGTATCTGTTGCAGAGTTACTGACATCAACTTTTTTATATGTGTGGCTTTCACTGTTCAGATGTAATCAGATATCTATTACATTTATACACAGGATGCAATGAACACGACGTTGAGGCTCACATAACAATTAGTAAAGAAAACTATTTACCACATGATTTTATTAGCACGATATATTACTGAGATTTGACATGTAAACCAGCTATACGAAAACATTTTCCCATTTACTTGACTGTACCTTGTAGTTACCATTCGGGTGTACCATGGCGTGTCTAGTAAGAGCTATTAAAGTACATGAGCGTTCTCGCAGGGTTCTTTTGATGTACAGTGTGTATACGCGTGTTTACATTTTACTTTTGACTACTTCGGACAAGGACAATTAAAAGACTGTACCCGATGAAGTCATTATTTAGTGTATAACATCTAGATGTAACTTATAAACTGTTCTCGTCACGATATGGCTGAAATATTGCCGATGTGACGATAAATATTAAGTCACTCACTAGATGTAACTACCATAATGTATATACTAGTAAATGCAACTATAAGGTGGGTGTTTATACGTGCATGCAGTAATGCACACATGCATGCACGCGCGCGCGCGCACACACACACACACACACAAATACATACATACATACAGTCATACATACAGGTTACAGGTTACATTAAAAAATTATTGTCAATCAAGATTTATGAACAGCACCATTTATCACAATTCAGAACCTGTGGTTGGGTTTTACATTTTCGAGTTGATAATTTAACGAGACAAGATTCGTTTAGCGGGCTTCATGGTACACTTGGTCAATGGCTGCCCATTAAATTTGGCCAGTACTAGTTCGAATTTGTTAGCTACAGAGCCTACTGAATATCGCAGTATAAAACATCCTTTGTATTGTGTGTGTTAATGGTTTCGTTTTACTAAACTGACTCAGTAATAAGTATATTGCTCCACAAAATAGAAAAGTGTATTCCATAAGTGTTACAATGTGTATCATATTCACGATATTGTGCTTGGAATTATTCTCAGACACCTGTCAGGAGAACAGAGCGAGATCAGTATGGATACATATGTTTAGCACACTGAAATAGGTTTATCATGAACTACGTGACGTTAGACGAGTCCCTTTGACATTCGCAAGAAATACGCGTAGAACGAGGTGGATCTATATACTGTGTTATCAGTGATAACATTTTATTTGATTTTCATTATCCTCGCATGGATTGTCTTGGAAAATATTACCTATGAGAAAATATACATTGGTCCAAAAGTAGTCAGATGTTTTAAGTGTGGTGATATATCATTGATTATAAAAGAGATATGTTGTCTTCAAAAAGTTGAAACTGCATTTGATTTTCAATATTTGTGACTCGAAGTACGAGGCAATGAAAGTTAGTGTATGTCATATATCCTCGCTTTCCATATTTTCTAACGTTTAATATTTAGTTTAATAATTCATTTCAGCTGAAAGGTCATAGCATTTACATTTAGATAGGAGCAGGAAAATGCTTTGAACGTGATAAGCCCTGTAATAGCGACAGTTGCAAATGATCTCACAGTTTGTTTGCAAAACAAACCCACAGATTATTTGCAGATGTTGGCTGTAGTCAATATGGCTAATAAAAACGACAATTCGAAAAATCCCAAGGGGTGATTCCAGCCTACTGTACGGTATCCATGTCTATATGAATTACTATCAAATATTGACGATACAGGATGTTTGGGAAAAGATGAGCATGGCCTGCCCCACCTGTGGCACCCGTCACAAATATATAAGACAGTAAAAATAAACACTTACGTTCGTTTATTAGAAACATTTACGAAACACACTGACACTTGTCAATTATTTGGCGGTGTATGTACAATTCCCTAATGCATGTAAAGCAAATTATGTGAAGAAAGGCATGGTTAGTCAAAACCAAATCAGTGTATGGAATGCTTTATATGCTTCGGTTATATCAATTAAACTTCTTTGTGAAACATAAACAGACAAAAGATAAATCGACACATGTTAATATTTGACCAATTCCGAAAAGGCATTGTCTATCCATATTACAAATTGACATTGTCACTTTCAAGAAGTGCATCATATACTATTAATAGCAGATTAAACTAGGGAAGAAAAAGTACAATCATCAGCATGAGTTACCTTGGTGTTCATTGTGTGTATATCCCAGCCAGGTATACAGCAAGGAAGAGACGCTTACCGGAGCTGTTGCCTTATAAAGCCTGATGTATGGAAGCCCAGTTGGAACATTGATCTGCTAAATGGAAATTTACTATGATTTCCCTGTCTGAAAATCCAACCAAACTGATATTTGTATGCACAGGTTATTCCTTCCCTGCCTTGATGGTATATCTTTCTGCAAGTGTCTCTTATGTCTATTCCGTTCATCTTTATCTCACTGTTGAAATTTTACCATGTGAAAACATATACACTTTCGCCTAGATATAATACACTCTTCAAAAAAAAAGAAACGCACAGGCCTTTTTAGCAGTTCCTTTTGACATATTTTGACAATTCCTGTGTTTGAATCCCGTTAAGCATGTCGCGGATGTTGTGTATTGCGCGCAAACGCATCCCAAAATGTGTTTATAAACGTTTGTCATAAAAAATGAAAACGATACATGAAAATTGCATGCAGAAAAAGTTTTCTATGTAATGCACGTGCATTGTGTCGGAAACATGAGTAGATACATCGACTGTAAAAGTCCAGAACAAATGCATCATTTCATTACGAAATTAACGACGTAAACGAAGATAAAAACATGCCAAGATATAATGCTACTATGAATACACAATGCATTTAGAAAGTCAGCCGCCTAACCCGCTCAGCCACTGTCTATCGACGTCGACACAACGTTTTGTGCCGTACTGCGATCGACAGGTGGACAGATTTGCTGGAGAAAGTGTCATGCTGTGGGGAGCCATGTCCTACACGGATAGATCAGAGCCAATGATGGTCCAAGGCAATCTTACAGCAAATCGCTACATCGACCAAATCCTGCGACCTCACTTCATCCCACGTTTTAACCGCCAGAGGGAGCTGTTTCAACACAACTCTCAACAGATGCCTATCTCGCCAATGCAAACGTCAATGTCATTCCCTGGCCCTCCAAATTCCTCCAGAACCGCGCCATTGACGGTTTGCTTAGAATTAGATATTTATTTCAAAACAATCTAACTTGATATAAACCATTTTGAAGAAAGATCTTCTCACAAGACTTCTAAGATATTCCCAAATAACTACGAAACTGTCTAAAGGGACAAGGTGGCCTTACTCAGTGACATAGGTGATTGTGTGGCACTGGCTCCCAACGGCCGTGAAGATCCGGGTTAGAATTGGTCTTCAGTAACCCATGCTTGTCGAAAGAGGCGACTAACGGGATCGGGTGGTCAGGCTCGCTGACTTGGTTGACACATACCATCATATCCCAATTGCGTAGATCGATGATCATGCTGTTGATCACTGGGTTGCCTGGTCCAGACTCCATTACTTACAGACCGCCGCCATATATAGCTGGAATATTTCTGAGCGCGGTGTTAAACAACAAACCAACCAATCAACCAACCCATGGTTCAAAATATCAAACACTGGTTTGTATAGCAGGACTATGATTATTTTGGCGTAAAACAACATTCATTCACTAACTATTAGTACGTCAGATAACTACCATCCGTAGTTTCAGTACTGCTTGGCGCCATCTGTAAACAAAGAACTTGATTTGTTGACGATAACACACAAACAGCAGTTTCGGGATCTATAGAGGAATCACATACCAGTGACTACAACGCTTATATGCATGGCTACTCTGCAGTTGAAACAATAACATTTTCTCCTTCTCAAATGAATCGTCTTTGTTTCATAACACTAAAAGTTGTGTTCACATCTGAAGGTAATATAGACAAATTATGCTTCAATATTGGTTAAACTATTCGGTGGATCAGTTATGGCATCTCATCTGAATCAGGACCTGAATATCAAAGCAGTAAGCTTGGTGAACCGTGTCTATATTGGAAACCATGTTTATTTAGAAGCATTTATAACTTGCAATATACATTCAGCTAATCCGTGTTGTGATTTGGCATATATGCGTCTCCATACCATTTTCATTTGTCAGAGAACTCAAAGTTCAGGTGCTCTTAAGAGATAATCTCCTTTATCTTTCTCCACGAACCTCACAGGCATATACCACCGTTCATTACTGATCAACACAATCCCGTTCTTTCATATAATCAGCGGCATTACATTTCCAAATCATATTTTGGTAGATAAAAACCCAAGAATCGTGATGTATGAATATTTAATGCTGATAAATACCACCGCTGCAACAACGGTCATGAACAAGGTGTGGTCCAGTCATGTTAGTGAACTGCAGGACAAGCTTGTCTTGGCAGTTTTGCGTTTTCTTTCAAGTGAGTGATCTTTTTCAACAAAACAGGAGACTGCACTGTAGGTTAAATATCTGAGACTGGTGACTGATGTAGAATTAAGGATTAATGCTTGAAATGAAGCGAATTTACATAAAGATAATGGCATTCAAAATAAATGAGGTGCAAAAGAGAGGTGCATGCATACCTGCGTCGATGACGATTACTCTTAATTGCAACTGTTAAGCTCGAGAATTGTCCGTTGGAAATGTACAACGTACAACCTGCACGCTTTTCGTCCTGTGAATCAGAGGCTATTCAGTTTGACTTATTTAACAGCGTTTAACGCCACAGTGATCGATATCACCTCATATCAAGACAGCTGCTTGAAACTCAGTCAGACGAAATAGAGCATGAAAGAGTGAGCAACGACCAACGCAGTCAGCCTGTCACAGAACATGACCACCCGTTCCCCGTTTCACAACAAGCATTAGGAACTGTCGGACAGTTTGGACCCGGGATCGCCTGCGTGGTGTCTGAGACATAGGGAGTCAAGATGAAAGTTATTTTTTGTTCCTGACCTATTATTTCTCAGTACAAGTACATCTTAGTTATGCCGACTGTCAGACGAGAAATGTATTTGCTTTTACCACGAAAACACTCAGAATAATACACAATTCATAACGTTCTTCTTCTTTCATTTTCGGTGACAACTGTCAAAATGTTTTTTTTTACTTATTCCAGACAAATGTACCGTGAAATATTGTTGTATTGGTCACAGACATCAAGATAATGGCTAAAAGATATGGCGTTATCACTAAAGTTAGAATTATTCTAAAGCTCTTTTGATTACTATCATGCTCTGCCCAAACATTAACGCGTTGAAACCTGTACAAACCGTTTATCAAAGTGTGTCATGATAAATATGCCTCACGCTGACACGTATCACGAAAACTAATATATAGTGATAAATAACACCTGGCACTGTATACAGGTCGTGGTTCGAACCTGTCCAAGGTCACATTTGCCTGCTGTGTGCTGTTATCATTAGACAATTGGTTGGTACAGCGGGGAGCTCTACGGCCTTGTTGAAACACCATAGGTCATGTCTTCAATCTGGCACAGGGGAGGGAATTTTACCTATATATGTACTAATGTCTGGCTAATCGTGTATAATCCGTACTCAGTGGAAACTTATTCTTCCGTTGCAAACGCATGCAACGTTTACTATTCGCTACTATTTCCGAGGGGCGGTGGGGATAGCCGAGTGGTTAAAGCGTTCGCTCGTCACGCCGAAGACCCGGGTTCCATTCCCCACATGGGTACAATAAGTGAAGCCCATTTCTGTTGTCCCCCGACGTGATATTGCTGGAATAGTGCTAAAGCGGCGTAAAACCAAACTCACTCACTCACACTTTTCGACTTGTGACATCAGTTGTCACTTTTCATTAGAGATTCGTCAATCTCATTGTTATGTGTGTATCATTAAGATAGATATTTAATTCCACAACAGCACCGGCCTTAGGTAATAGGTGTTTTTAGTTGCAAATACATATCTCAAGGTATTTCTTCCTATATTTACTCATATAAGAGTAAAGCAAGGGTTAAAAACTACAAGTAAGGGTACCTTTGTATAGTTATCACCTCGATTGCTCTCTGAATTTCCATCTCGATATTTATAGTGGTATAGATGATAACGGCCATTACAGTAACCACAGCGTGCACATTCATTACATACAAAAATAAATATACAAGTAAGTATATATATTGACGGTATATTAGCTTTAATCTCAGATGTTTGTAAGCGCTGCTAAATAGTTGTTGCAAGACACCAAACGTCAGGTGCGCGCCTGAGGTCTTTTCCATTACATTGCGACATTATTTATAGGGGACTGTCTGAGTACCAATTCCCATAACTGTGCTTGTAGACCTCTGTACGTGTGGATCTTTTCCCCGTATATAAAACAGTTTAGTTTACATAAGTGGGACGTCGGTGCACGCTCCTATCAAAATGAGTTCAAAATTGGGGAAGGTTTCTGGTAAACTATTCATACTTTGCTTTGTACTACTCGGTGGGAGACATTTGAACAAATATGGTGACGAAATAACAATGAGTGTCCAGGCAGACTTTCAACAAGGGTGATGTCTCATTCGCTGCTAGCCCGATTAGACATCTGGACGAGCTTCCACGGGAATAAGCTTACATGTCTCAGATTGGGGAAATCCACCACTTAACCTAATTATATATAAATAATAATAATAAATGGGCATTTCTATTGTATATGCCTATTGATACACAGATGAAGACACGGCTTATGCTTGAATCTGTTTCTCTCCCGTATAATGTAACTGCTGTTTACACATTTATATGGTTCGTTTGGTTTCTGCTGTGTGTTATCAGGGATACTCTACAACCTTATAGAGTCTCCCTGGTGTTATTTACTGTTTCTTGAATGTCAGATGCGCTATCCAGTTTACTATCTTTATCGACTAAGAGAACAAAACAGAGAAAATTCATAATTATACGTATTTTGTAGTTCAACTGTAATTTTGCTTATGGACACAAAGTCGCGGCGTTAACCCAGTATATAACGGCAATCGTACGGGAAGTAACTGATGTTCATTTGAGTTTTTCTATTCTTTATGTAGCAAAATCTTTTCTCTTCACATAACTGCAACTCTATTTAATGTCCGTGTATTTAAAGCTGACCGATACTTCAGGTTGACTGATGGGAGTTTAAACTGTGAAAGGGATAATCGTATGTTGATCCTTATCAAAAAGGATTATACCCAGATATCGTCATCATTAGTTTCGTTGATATTTGGCAAGTTGTAAGCATTAGAAATATCTTCAAAAGATTTTTTAAAAAGTAAAAAAAAAAAAAATATTACGTTCCATTGCCGGGAATCGAACCCGGGCCGCCTGGGTGAAAGCCAGGAATCCTAACCACTAGACCACAATGGATCGCTGAGAAAGGTTGAGGCAAAATAGTGTATCTATGACTTCGCCGTGCGCGGTAGCGATCACTACGATAAGATGACTCATCTGTGACCAGCGCGAAACTGCATTCATAAAGGGAGGTAACCCCGTGCGGATGTAAACATCCGTGAGCGAAAACTGTGTCGCTGTACTTGACCCAGTCCGAGTCTTGGTTCTATATATCCACTCTACGCTGACGGCTCTTGGTTCAAGGTCCCACTTAATTTTATTGTGCATATCAACAACATAATTATTTTGCATGTGGAAAAGTTGAAAACCCACGCGAAAGGCCAATATCTTCCAGCGCCTTGCTTATGTCCAAATTACTCAGGTTTTTAATATCCAACTTGCTGAACGTGGTGAACTGTAGTGCTATATGTTATAAACCTTTTCGTCAACCGACCACATTTCTCTACAGTAGTAACGCCCATGTCTTAAAAAACAACAACAACAACGTGGTTTGTCGTTCAATATTCCATTCATTTCGACAACACACCAAGTATATGAATGTCAATGAAACAGGCAAGTGTGTTGATATGAGCTTGTACATACTATGTAACTATGTAAGCTTGTATAACTATGTAAAATAACTGATTAATCATATCTCTCAAGATTATATTTACAGAGGCTGAGTAACAAACAATATATACAACACAAGTATATACATTTAATTCGGTTTGTCTACCGCTTATGACTGATTGACAATTGATTAACAATTTAATGAAGTTATCTAACAAATTAAGCCAAATCGTATATTTTAAGAATATGCAATATTTTCAACTAATTGATCTTAAACACAATAATTGGAATATTATTACATATTTAAACCTTCATAAAATGAAATCAATATATAGTTTCTAAATACGAATGCATTTTTATGAAAATATATCGATTAACACAGACTGACTTATTTCGATACAGTATTGGCTATCAATAAGTAGCGTAGATCGATGCTTGAATGTTGTAGCAGGACCGGTATATGGTATCGTGTCCAAACTTCACAGCATTAAAGCAGGAGGGCGGTTTGTGGGATCGTACTGTAGGGCTGCCTTCATACTGTCAGCCAGACTAGAGGTGATGGCACTGGTCTCTACAAACTCAGGCAACTCCACCGCTGTTTCAGCGTGCTCCACGACGGTGAACTCCGCACACTCGCCGATATATAGATCTTCCCCCGTCAGCAGATAGTAGATTATACAACCGAGGGACCACACGTCAGCCTTGATGGCAGAATACTGGCAAACATTGCTGAGAACCTCGGGTGCCATATAGGCATATGTTCCTGCAGTGCTCGTCACATACATCTCCATTCCGCAAACCCCCCGGACGTTCTTTGCGCAGCCGAAATCAGCGAGGATTGCCATGTTTCCTTCTATTAGGATGTTTGCAGGTTTCAAGTCTCTGTGGGCGATCATGTTGTCGTGGAGAAAGCCTACCGCCGTCTGGATGTCCAGAAAAAGGCTCATGATATACTCAGAATCTCTGTGTCTGAAATGAAACGGAACAAAATATTAATGCTCTAAGGAGAAAGTTTCAGTGAGGTAACGGCGCTCTGTACAATATTCCGTAAGCATAGCACCATAGCACACCCCTTCACGGGGGTGGAGGTATGACGCGATAGCACTAAAGCATTATTATCCATATCATCATCATCATCATCATCATTATTACAGATGCGTGCTGTGGGAGGACAGTCCACACGTTACCACTTTGGTGAAACACACAAGAACGACATGATGTTTACATACGATATCAATAAATATGTAAAGAAGGCCCCATTATATACTCTTACAAAATGTAGGGAACTTCATTTTCAATTTACGATTGAAAAAAATGTGAGATATCGAAGTCAATCAATGTTGATATGATAATAATGTTTTGTGAGCGCATCACCACTTGCACTTTCTTATGACCATAGTTGTTTGTACAGTAATCGCTCTAGAAAGATGATTGGCGTATGACGTTAAATTTGCATGTGTACGATTTTCATTTTCAACCCCAACGAATCCAAGCCAATATCAGATGTTTGGTTAACAAAACGAACTGGAGACATACAACAAATACACTCACACAATATCTACATCTTTGAGGCTACCAGAGGCTAGGTTCATGATGATGATTATCTCAGACTCGAGGTGAAAGCAGTCCAATAGACGAACGATGTTGGGACAGTTCTGTAGTGATTTGAGTATATCCACCTCTGTCAAAGCAAAGTCTACATCACCTTCATGCCTCACTCGTTTTACGGCCACAACATCTAGTGTGTCCAGCTTCATCGCTTTGTACACCGAGCCGAAGGTACCCCTCCCAACTTGACACAGGATCTCGTACATGTCCCTGAAGTCCTCCTCCATCAACAATCCATGCTTCGTCTCTTTGAATGGTTCCCCTGAAGCCAGAGTTGGATCTGACTTAATTATAGTTGGCACTTGGCACAAGATCCTTCCTGGAGAGTTCTTGTTCAAATCGGATCTGTTTGCTTGATGTTTAATGGAATGAGATCTTTTGCACCATGTCGACCTGGGTGTTGAACTTCTGAAACTGAAGAAGGGATCCGAGAATCCATCTCTGTGACAGGATGACTTCGAGTCGGTGGTTGAGGACTTTCTGCTACTGTCACGTGACATGCCTTGTGTGGTTACAGGGGGAATAACCTCCCATCGTACAACTTGCTTTGGTTTGCGTCGAAACCAACAGTAACCTGAAATTATTAAATAAGTATAATTATTATTCTCCTTCAGTATAACTTGTTGTATTATGAAACCATTCTTCAAAGAATTGCAGTTCAGTGTCAGTTCGTGTTTTATGTAGCAAAATCTATATCGAGCAAAAAGGACGAGGTGGGATAACGGACCCGTTTGTCCCTCTGGAAATGTCAATTTGAGGAAAACTTATCAAATGTTTGATTAACACCGTTAGTTATATTTCAAGATATGTTTATATCACTGTCAGACTGTTTGTCTTACACCTGCAAGTTTCGGGCTGCTGACGTGACAAATAAAAATGGCCGATTTTTCTACCTTGAAGAAAAATGTATGTGTTTGCGCTTCCTAGACCAGTGTTTAAAACAAGCGCCTGCCCGCAGACCAGCGACAGGTAGATTCACGGCCCTCATCACTTGCAGTAAAACGTGCATATTGATTTGTAAGAATTAGCTTCAGGGTATTGTGTAAGTGAGGACCTGAAGAGTTTAGTCAGGACGCGCAGCTCCTGTAAAGTCTGTGGGTCCTGGTGTCCGTGTGGCAATTCGTATTATTTTTTATTTCATACACTGCCCGTGACCCAAGCAAAACTGTTCTACCAAATGTCATGTTTGCTGTGTTTTATCTATATTTCCTAAGAAAGCCACTTGACTGAAAGATTTGCTCCTGTTTCACTTTACATAATAATTTCTGAAGCCTATCTAGCTTTACGACACATTTAGCCTGAATTATTGTAAAATGTCTGATTCACATTCAAACGAAAATATGTGAAAACTTTCATAATGAGTTTTGATGGAGTTCCTCAATTCTTAAATTACTCATATCTCATGGTCTAAATTGGGACTTTATTAAACCTTGGCCTTTGTCTACTATGTTAATCATTGATTTCTCTATTGAGGAGCCAGTTGACATTTAAAGAATATTTAGGGTCCAGAGTCCCGTTGTACATAGCGATCTTAGCGCTAAGGTGACCGTAACTCCTATAACTTAACGTAGACAGTTAAAACGCTGAGGTTGTTTGTACACAGGTACCTTAATATATGATATTTTGCTGTGGGTAGTCGCAAAATATTAGTTTTAGACATCTACGAATTTAACACCAATCATGATGATGTATATTCTTTCTCCCTTAGAGGTTCTGCTGTGAAATTTTTATTTCGAAAGTAACGTTAAATAGGTAAAATATCTTTAATGCAAAACATCCTATATCAAACTAGGGCAAACACAAGCAAAGAACATAGTATTGTATAATCTAACATCTTCGTGGCAAATTTTGGCAAACAAACAAACATGCCAACCAAAACCAGTATGGAGCATATGATCATGTTTCTAAATATTAAGTTTCAAATATTAATATTTTCTTACCTTTCCAGGCAACGTACGCTCCAGCGAGGAGTGATGAAGACGTAATCCACAACTCGACCATCTCGTAGAATTAATGGTTTCACCCTTTCAACTGAAAATAGAGTTTATATGAACTTTAGTCAGTTAGTAAATCGCTCTCGTCAATTATTAACTTCTTATGCGACTAATATCGTTATATAGAAGTATTAATATGCAAACTGATATTTTGCCATAAGCAGCATAATTGAATATTTATATAAATGTCGTACTTACTGTCCACAAGTTAAGCTGTTCAACATGCTGGCTTTGTAATGAAGAGAAATGATTAACTGCGACTTTCTCATGTCGCTAAACACAGAGAATGGGATGACGTCATAGACAAACGTGATCTCGTCGTTTCTGTGACGTGAACGAGAGTGTCACTTTCCGTTCCCACATGCTACTGACACAAACAGGAATATTGTTTCACACACGCACGCTTACACGGACGCACGCATGCATACACATACAAAATGTGGGCGACAGTACTTGATTTCTGACATCATTTCACGTTAATTTTGTTAATGGGAACATCAACGAGAAAAGATTTACTTGGTTCGCAAATGAAATACGATAGAATTTTGTAGTATAATTATTCATAGGTACGCTTTGATGGAAGCCCGAAAACATATAAATCTTTTCATCATCATAATTTCACGACCAAACATCATAATTTTCACCTCCTGTACACGCATTTTATCATACCTTCAGCTTGGAAACAAGTGAAGGTTCAAGATGTAGAATTTGTGTCCAAAGGCACCGCAGTAACAATGATGGAGAGTGTGGGGGGGGGGGATGACTTATGTCATTTCATATTCCCGTCTGTAAAGACAATGCTGTGATGTCATAGACACTGCTATATGAAGGTCATGACGTCATATAGACAGATCCCGGTGATACGCGTGTCGTCAGCTTGTGATTTGGAAAGGCAAAGCCAGGCTCACAACACTGTGGTTGTCAACGGACAAAATAAAATACACATAGAGAGAAATACTTTATTAAATTGAGTCGATTACATTGGGATCTTTGAGTTACAATGTGTGACTATCTTATAAATTGTCATCGTATCTCTATAACGTCTGACTGCCTGACAAACAATCTAAGGGATATTTTTAGGTCATTTATAATAAGTTACCAAACATCGTTTTTCATATTATCCCCATGCATTTCGGGTTATCACTTAACAATTATCAAATTCTATCTGCTCCTAAATTATTTATTTTCTGGTTTCATATTCAATTCCGATCTCAAACACATTGGTATTCACCTATATTTCTTAAACGAACACACATAGATGTTTAATTACACTGAGTAATATACACGGTGGTATCAGTGCTGGCTGTCCTATGTCTCCTTCGTAATGGTGAAGTTCATGCTTTTCTGGTCATACACCTTGCTATGGGGATGCTCGCTGAAACACTCGCCATTACACACCGCTGCAACATAAGATACACAGATCCATATTACATCCAGATAATATACATCAGACTAAGAGCTACATTCCACACGGTGTATGCGTCTTTTTATATAATTGCAGGTTGTAAATATATATATATATTTCAAATAAATGCACTCCATCGAAACGTATGCAGATCATGAGTTACTGCAACATTTGTTTCTGCCTTTGGGTATTGCTCGATGAGTCCCTTTTACTTACACACTGTGAGTGTATAGTTGCCGTGTTTCCAAGTTTCACACTTCTGTTTCTGGGGATGACAGTCGGGGGACTTCTCCGCCGACAGCTTCACGGCTGTGGGGTAGAAGCCTGGTGGTTGTTTCTGTATCAGGATACTGCTTGCTACAACCACAGATACGTGAAAATAACAGCTTTTTATCAGTAAAGAGAACGCAATTATAGAAAATACGCTCTTTGGCGTGAAATATTTATTATAAGCGTAATCAAAATGGTCCGGATCGAGAGCTTTTTTAAAAAAAAATTTCAAAAGTTCTAATCCGAAATAGTATACACTGTGCACATTTTTCACCTTCCTGGATCCCCCGGTCCAACAAACCGATCTTGAGACAAGCGACCGTCGGTGCGTTATGTAGCTTTGTAGAAAGGTACCATGCTCCAGAAAGCCCTATGTATCTCCAGTATTTAAGTGATGTAGAGGGTAGCTCAGTTACGCCCCGCAGCTGTATCAGGTTGGTGGGTTCGAACCAACGGTTTGTTCTTTGTATATTGCAATGTTTGTCATCACAATACCAGTTGTCGAGCATTTCATCAAAACAGAAAACGTCCAGGCATGCGTCCCTTTGAACTACGCTCACATTCAGCTGGAGGTCAAATTAATGTTTGTCTTCGTTATGATCAGAAAAACACCCCACTGATGTTCATTTAGTCTAGGTATTGTTGTACTTTTCTAAAATGTATAATGTGTTAAATATGACCATGCTGACCCGGCCACAGACGGCCCGGGTATATACTCACACACAGGGAAATGGTCCACAGTCGTGATGTTGATGTTGATCTGACCTGTACCTGTGCCATTCGTTGAATTGTACGTGAAGCTTATAGTACGATCACCTATGCATAAAACAATTATCGTAAGATTGTAAGTGTATCATTGTTACCCGTAACATACAACCTGGATGTCATAAATTTCACTTTATTTCGATAAAAGGTTTTAGAAAAACATGGAGGTTGAAATTTACTATTTATTTTATATCTGACGTACAAGATTTCGGACGAAAATCAATGGATGTGCCGAACTTCGAGGTGTAGAGGAGGGCAACAAATCAAACTTCATAATGCCTGTTGTAGAAATGACGAAATGGGCATAGTTTTTAAGGGCAAAGTAGGGCAAAGGTACCTGGGGGTCCTTTCAGCGGAAGGATGTTGAGCTCTGTCAAGGTCGCATCTCCCTGGTCGAAGATCGGACACATTTTCGTCAGTTCGCAGAAGTAAATAGGATCTAAGTCTGCCCTGTTGAGGGATGCACACACGTCACATGCAAAGCTTAATGAATATTGTATTCATAGTCCTGCGTATTTCATCTCGTCACTGCTATGCTTAGTGAGATTGACGGCAACGTTGAAACAGTAGAGAATTTATGATAGTATAAGATAAAACAGTTAACTGCAATTAACTGAAATTTGGATGTTTGTATGGACGTAAATATGTTGTATGTTTCTTCACGGTATGCTTACTTTGTGATAAATTTGACGAAGTCTTCAATGCCGACAATGTCACACAGGATGTTACACACGGCGCCGATAGCTTGGCTCCCTGTCTTTTGCTCAACAATAGAGCACAGAACGCCACATGAATCCAGAAGACCAATATCTGCAGAATGATGGGAAGAAGCATGTTATAAAGCAGGATAAATTCTTACGCGGTAAGTTATGGACAGGCCATATCACATATACCAATTATGTAGCAATGTGGCGACGATCAGTATAGTGTGCTTCTTCAGGAAGTGAGTTTTGGGTTCAGACGTACATTTTCTGAAAACAAATAAATGGAAGTAACACGTTTGGTTGGGTTTAACGCCGCCTTTTAAGTTAAATCGCTGCTTTGCCCTTTGAATTAATCTAGTCTGGGCGATAAAACCCTGTACGTCTTGTACAAGGCCTTGTTTCACTCCGTTAAATGTCAGCGTCCGTGTGAGGCTGGTTAACAAGAAGTAAACTTTTACCATATTTGAACGTCTTTTGGTATGGCCCAGCGGAGATATCACCCCGACATTCCCTCTCCGGACCGACCCTCTATCTGTTGGACCACATAAATACCTATACGTGAGTGAGTTTAGTTTCACGCCGCACTCAGCAATATTCCAGTTATATGGCGGAGGTTTGTAAATAATCGAGTCTGGACCAGATAATCCTGTGATCAACAGCATGAGCATCGATCTGCGCAATTGGAAACCGATGACATGTGTCAACCAAGTCAGCGAGCCTGACCACCCGATCCCGTTAGTCGCCTCTTACGACAAGTATGGGTTACTGAAGATCAATATTCTAACCTGGACCTTCACGGGCCTAAATACCTATAAGCTAGTATAGGTGACTATATAAACATATGGTGAACTTACTAAGGATGATATCCATCATTATGTCAATAGTTTCCTCCGTGAAGCTGATGCATGTCGGACAAAGGTCAAGGTCAACATTAACTTGGGGTTGTGGCATCTTCAGAATGGTCATCATGGTCTTCGTCGGATTCTGCGGCATGTTGGCGGTCTGAGTCGACACCCGCAGCCCAGAGGCGGTCAATACCACACAGCTTAACAACGCCAGTACCTGTATTCAAGCAAACACGGACTAGTAGTTCACTTTTGTAAACAATATAAATGCATGAAGTTGGACTTGTGTTATAAATTTGTATTTGATCAGCATTCCAGTTTTGTCATGACGTGAGTAAGGCTGTGGTGCTGACAAATACGAGAAACATGATCGGTGATTGGGGATTCGAATCCAAGAAAATGGGTTTCTGGCGAGCCCACTCAGGGAACTTAGACGACTGGGCCACTCGTGTCCCCTGTTCGGCATAAGACAGATCGGGACAGCCTTGTATATTTATATATAATGGACATCCTAGAATAGTCTACGTAGAGAGGAGCAGTGCTTGGCACTCCCAGTTTGATTAACAGAACCCCAGTTGCTGCAATGTTAAGTCTTCACTGGTACTGGACATCAGATCATGGCATATAGTCCCTGAATATACGTTCATGCTAATAGCTATCCACAACTACATATACAATTGATAATTTTCATGCATCATTTAGGGTCGCATTCAAGGAGAGCTTGACAAAAGGGGAAAGACTTGAGGAAAAGTGTGTCATGTTGTCTATTACAATGGGCTGATAGAAACAGTTAGTAATGATACACCCACCTTCATCTTCAATAACAAATGGGATGCTGTGGCCTTTGATACAACTGCTCTAGTGATAAACACATGCAGGTTGAATGTTGTCTGGACGTCCAAAGCCTGACAGTATCTCTGATAGCATTTATGACAAATACACTTGTTGTAGTTTCTGCATTTGCTGACAGAGATCGTATTTATATGGTGTATCTCAGTCTTAGTATTGCGAGGTAGAACTGATGAATCAGGTAGTAATCCTTTTGTTTCGTCATTTTTATTAAACGACTGACTGACTGAGTTTGGTTTTACGCCGCTTTTAGCAATATTCCAGCAACATCACGACGGGGGACACCAGAAATGGGCTTCACACAATGTACCCATGTGGGGATTCGAACCCGGGTCTTCGGCGCTTTAACCACTAGGCTACCCCACCGCCCCTTTATTAAACGAAGTCCTGTCTATGTTGCATTAAGGGATCAATTCATATTTAATAATATCAATGTATAATAGACCATGTACCTGTATTCATGTGAAACATGGAGAAAATCCAGTTGTTTCACGCGGCATTGTGGATGTAACAGACAGTTTTGCTGCCGTCAGATTCTAGTATTATTGACAATATATCTATATTTAATCTAAAAGAGAAAATGATTATCGCTTTAAGGGAAACACAAAGAAACCTGACACTGGAATAGTAAAATTGGTCAATATAAGCCATCTTATATATAAATAACGCCTACAGTGTAAGCCTCATTGGGATACAGGCACTCCTATGTTGTAAGGAGCTCGGAAAAAGCAAAGTGTACACCCATGTTTGATGGTGGGTAGAAATTAACCAAACAAGAAATATGGGTTGGTGATATATTTCATACTTTCAGTCTCGGTAAATGTTTTCAGCCCAGCGGCGTTATGATAACGTTTATAATTTGATGGTCAAATCCAAATTTCAAGTATACACTTACTTTCCCCACCGGTTTATTTCATATCAAGGTGTGTCATTCAATAGGATCAGAGTGCAGGCTAGAAATTAACAAGAAACATTATTTGTGGCATATTAGTACTATCAAATTACATTAGTTGATTAATAGTTTTAATTCAATTAGTAAAAACTATTTGTTGTAATTGAAGCTAGGAGCATTGAGCGCTCGCGCGAGTGCATCACATGATCAGCGTACGAATCACATGACCATTGATCACCAAGGTGCTCCTATTTGCATAAACTTGTTTTGCAATGGCGGCGAAATGTTGATACTCGGAAACTCATAGCGCACCGTGATTTACTGGCTACAAAAACAACAAATCCAGAGTTGTGCAAATATGGCAGCATCGGGGCCATATAGGTTAGACTTGGAACAACAAAAGAGGAATGTATTCGTGACACAATTAAACGACAGGTGAGAGGAAGCGATCAATGTTTGATGAAGCTACACTGTTGTAATTAGGGTCACTTTGTTCTACATGGGGGATCTATCGACAGGTGCGCACAAGCGTGACGATTGTGATATTGCCTGTGATTTAGAATGTACTCGGGGGAATTTTGTCAAATGCATTATTTATTTTGTATGTATAACTTTCGTATTATCTTGTGTTTAACAAACGAGGATGAGAAGACTCTTCTAATCGGTGATTATTTTGAAAATACACAACAGTTCTTGTTATTTCAATCTATTTCTTTTGTTTCCTATTAGTAATTAATATATGCATTTCATCTAGGAATATTAATTGCATGTATTAAAATTACTACACTGATTGAAATGAAGGTATTTATCATTTCTGTTGCCCTAACCATCTGGCCATCAGTTATTATTGATTATTTGTTTGCAGAATGTCTCTCAAGACTGTAAGAAATCTCTGGAGATTTTCTCCATTTGTTTCTCGACATAGAAACATATTTGCTGCAAATTTAGCTCTTTGACTCAAAATGTTTTATTTATAAATGTGTCCGTGCTGGGTCTTTGAGTTTTGTTGTTTTCTAGAAAATAGGAGTGTGGGGATTTCAAGAAAGTGATAGATTTTTTCAGGTCAAATATGCAAATATTTTTGTAGTACTCGACAGAACTGTTGAAATATTCATTTTCTCAATGGTGAATGCCAATAAATTGGGATTTTATGAAAGCAACTAAAGATAAAGTAGCTGCATTTTGTATATTGATAATGGTAGAGAAAACTTTACATATCTGTATGTGTGTATCCATTTTACTTTCAGGGAAGATGAAGATGAGATTTCTGCATTCCCTGTGGTCAAGGAATCAGGGGACAAACTTATTGAAACCGGTATCAACACTTTGCAGAAAACCCTTCTCTTGAAGAAGGATGTTGAAGTAGAAAAGGTCCAGGCTGACCTTGAAGAGAAGCGATATGAGTTCAAGAAACGAATGGAAGCCTGCTCACAGAGGCAGATACATGTCCAGAAAAAACAACAACAGGTTAGCAATAATGTTATAACAAAAGTTACTGTGTAAGTTTTCATTTTGTACTGGTTAGAAAGGGAAAGAAAACATTATTTTAAAACTAAATTAATGTAGAATATATATGTACATTAAATGTTACTTCTTAGTAAATTCGGGGTGGTGGGGTAGTGGTTAAGGTGTTTGCTCGTTACGCCGAAGACCTGGGTTCGATTCCCCACATAGACACAATGTGTGAAGCCCATTTCTGGTGTCCCCTGCCGTAATATTGCTGGAATATTGCTGAAAGTGGCGTAAAACTAAACTCACTCACTCACACTTAGTATATTCACTTTGTATCTTTGGTATGTTCCAAATTAAGATTTTGTATTTCTTGTTTTGCTTTTTTAATTTGACTGTTTTCTTCAGATGAAAGACAGAGTTTCCAAATTTGAAAAGTTTATCCAAGAAAATGAAGCTAAAAGAAGAAGAGCATTGCAAAAATATCAGCAGGAAGTCCGATTACGAATACAGAAGACGTCAGAATTTGACCTGCTTCTGCAGCAGTTGGAAGACCTTAAAGCGAGGTGTGTTGACTTCCAGCACTGGGTCAGATAGTAGGAAACAATAACTGTTAGCAGGATATATACTGTCATTGAAAATTGAATTGTTATGTATTGGCCCACAAACAATGCCTTTGATCAATTATTATGAATATAGTTAATTACAATTTGTATAATTTTTGTATTTTTATCTGTTTATTTTTTTATCAATGATGGAGCAATTGTGACCCAAAATATTCTAACTACTTTTCTTTCCTGTTTTGATTTTGGCTTTTGCCTAGCGCTGTTCGAATGCTTAAACCCGAACAATTTGAAAATGTCACCTTAGAATCTTGCTGTAAGGTTATGAATATACAATGTAGTGAATTACAATTTGTATAATTTTTGTATTTTTATCAATTAATTTTTTTATCAATGATGGAGCAATTGTGCCCCAAAATATTCTAACTACTTTTCTTTCCTGTTTTGATTTTGGCTTTTGCCTAGTGCTGTTCGAATGCTTAAACCCGAACAATTTGAAAATGTCACCTTAGAATCTTGCTGTAAGGTGCCCTAACTTGTAGCTGTTTATGATGCAAATTGCTTAGCTTTGATAGGAAAGGCAAGCTTTGACAAACATGTGTTGTTTGATTGCAGACACCGATTCTTGAAGGAGCAGTTAGTCCAGTACAAGAAGTATGAGGAGTACCTGTTGCGAGTCATTGATGCCATGCCTGAGGGTGAGCAAATGTTGTTTTATGTTGTAGTCTGCAATATCACCATACATGAAAGTGGCTTGGATGAATTAGCCAGACTGTGATAGCATAACCATCAATCCATGGGGACTTGGGCCTCTTCTGCCCAACAATGTAACTTTGAGATGGTAGGAGACAAAATTATATGGATCCTTTTGAGTTAGTGTAGAATTAAAACATAATCTCACAGTGGTAGTCCTAGTTTCTTAAACATACTGTTATTGGTAAGGGATAGTCAGCATTAAGTCTTACAATAATGGATTAGAGTAATATGAGAAGAGAGTTGTATTTGCAGACTATCTGCCATCATCGGAGGACAAGCTGAAGGGTCTGATGATGCGACACCGGACACTGAGTGAATCCAACAAAGACCTAGTCAACAATCTGGTGGCCATGGAGGATGAGGTGGGTGGACATTGGGTGGAGGATGGGGTGGGTGTACGAGGGGTGGAGAAGGGGTGAGTTTACACAGGTGGTGGGTGCTGAGGTTAGGGTGGTGGTTATACATAGGGTGGGTGGGAGATAGTGGCATTGGGTATACATGTGGTGTATATAGTCGAGCTGATTGGTGTTCACAGGGTGGGTGAACATGGAGTAGAAGATTGTGTGGCAGGTAGGTATCATTCATGGAGAAAGTGAGGTAATAGGGTGTATCAGGGAAAGATGGTGGTAGTGGGCAGGTGGGTGGCATACCATGTTGTTGAACATAGGAAGGATTTGTGATGGTGGAAGGTGGACATACCTCTGAGGTAACCATGGTAATCAGTATGTCATATATCCCTAGCTGGAGCATCTGAAGCTGAAGCTGGACGAGATGTCCCAGGAACACAACAAGCAGAAGGTGTCCATCAACTCCCAGCTGGCTCGGCTCCAGGAGAAGCAGGAGACAAAGACTGATTCCAACCAGGAGAAGGAGCTCAACTTTGCCCTATCCAAGGGGGACCTCAGGAAGAGGGTGAGTAGACCTCATACAAACCAAGATCCTTAGAGAATAATCCATGAGATACAAGTGATTACGGGAAATATGTCCCGAGTGAAATTAATGTTCACTGTCCTGAGCTTGAACATTAAAACAAAGAAACCAGCATTTACGAACTCAAAGCTGCATCTTCTTATGTACGTGTTTACAACTATATCAGCTGATCTGTATTAATGCGCGGATGAAACCAAACTGCTCAAGCTTAATGGAATTGCATTCAAACCACAATATAGTACTGTAAAAAAAAGTATGAAAAACAACACAATTCAACAGTTTCAAAATTCGTTTGATGGCGATTTTATTAACCACACCCCCTTGTAAAGTTTCAGTTTATTTTCAGCGAGTACAATCACATGTTAAATATATTGAGTCGAAGATCGCAAATGTGTCGATCTGCTTACTCAGAAGGTGGGTGACTGTTGTTGGATACAAAACAGTAAAAACCTGTCAATTTTGTTAACATTAACTTTGGGGGGAAATTTTTGGCGAGATCCTGACTCGCTCAATAGCGTTTTCCGGCAACACTTTAAGTCTATACCTTGCGACTTCCATTTCACCATATTGAGTGTTGATCACATACATGTGAAAGGAATTTAGTGGTTGTATTATTCTCATTACACGTCCAGTATTGTCTCATTCCACCTTGACTAGGTCATTGACTTTGATTGGAATTAACTGGGAAGCCATGCTTGTTTATAAAATACGATTTTATCAATTTTAGACAATTTTATATTACAAAACATGTTGCTTAGTAAACGATGCCATATTGTAAATGAAGTATGAAATGAAACATGAACTAAGCATCAAATCGAAATCCTGTATGTTTTTTTGTTTTGTTCTATTTTAAAATCTCAAATCAGTGCAATTACAGCACTTTCAATTCATCAATGAATCAATGAAATATTATGAATGAACGTAGTGGTGTGAAAGTAGTTCCGGCATCCAATGAAAATGTACAAATAAATGATCAACCAATCAACGTTGGGAATCACTAAATTGCACACTGTGCAAATATCAAAAAGATATTACACGGGATCTCCTCACCCATATGGGTAATGAAGCAATATTCAACACCTTCCAAATTAATTGATGATAGTGGTCTACAAATGAAAAGATTCTCTGGTCTTCTTTCCAGTCAGTATTGATGATATTGTACTTGATTGAATGACCACCACTAAACCAAACTATTTCATTTCAGAGAACACAGTATGGTGTAATTCTCATGGCCATTGATAATATCTATGAAAAATGTCGAAAAGTCATAGAACTGCCAGCAGAAAAAATGGAATTAGACGACAAACTGCACAGAATAAAAGTGAGTAAAACAAAGTGACAAACTTGAACTGTCAATCATAAACATTTTTCAGGTGAGAGAAGGAGCTGTACACAGGGTGGGTGGGGTTGGGGGATGTAAAGCAATGTAACTAGTGCAACCTCATGGACATTAATGATTTTTCCATCTGTCGAGATGCATGTTCACGCAGAACAAGGATAGAGAGGCTAAGAGATTTTTTTACAGATGATTATACAGGCTGTTACCAAAGCTTTAAGGTATGGTCAACTGTCTGCTCTTCCATTTTCTCATTGAAGGATCCTTCAGTTGTCACCATCACTTTCTCATGAATGTTCATCCGATCGGCAATCTTTAGCGAAATTGTCACTCTCAGAGGACGTTTAATTTCCCAAGGGGTGTATAGAGAGTGTCAATCCTGCTCTAATATCTTCAATTAAAGAAGAGTGCATCAGCAGATGATGAATCCACATAATTCATCATGAAAAGGAAGGACAGAGAGTGTATCATTCTTCCTCCTAAGATGATGATGAGTTCATCTAACTGAAGAGGGTTAGAGATGATCTCAGGATGCCCAAGTTCTTCCTAAAAGACTGCCATTTTTATAGATTGCCAGTCCATGTAAACTCTCCCAAAAATTGATGTTGACATTACATCACTGTGTCCTTAATGGAACAACTTTTCACTCTTAGTGCAAGATAGGGAATTGATGCATGTTCACACCGCCATCAGTAGGACCCTACTGTTTATTGGTACCATTCTATCTGCCCTAGAAGCCATTGCTATGCTGATTGCTCACGTTACTTCGTTGGAAGAAATCTATATCAGGGGAGCCATTGTCATTTTCAGGTTGTGATGGACCTTATCTCCCACTTTCTGGGTTATATGACTGCTCTGATATGTCTTCAACTATTTCGTCAACCATGGTTGACAAGGTCCACAAGGAAAATTAGTTTCAAGTTTCTGTGGAATTACTTCAAATGCAATAGATCCAAATTCAAAATTCTTTACACCAGGAACACGTGGCACAATATACTATGTCCAACCAAGATTTGAAGGAGTCTTTTCGTGGACAAAGGTCCAGTATAGGCAGGAGCAAGCTTAAGTGGAAGGACCTCCAGCTGATACCATCACGTTTGACAAGTCCAAGGGAGGGGAGGAGTCTGCATGATACACAGACTCTTCAAAACAGTGACTTGCCGACATCATGCATGACTGGGAACTTCACCCCAATCTACCCTGTAGGCAGAAGACGTGAGACTTTTGTCCTAACTTGGACTAAATGTCTTGGCTTTCTTAACAGAACATTTCTGGTGTCCCCCGCCGTGATGTTGCTGGAATATTGCTAAAAGCGGTGCAAAACCAAAACTCAGTCAGTCAGTCTTAACAGAATGATACAGACTTCCAATCCAGGGCTTGTTGCCTCTGATGTCTGACCCTTCATATTGTTGGTAAAAAAGAGCCTCAACTGTCAAAGATACAGACTACTTTGAGTATGCTGTTAAGGCTATTTAAGTAGACAGGGAAGGCAGACTCGATACTTGGTTGACTGCATTTTTCACAGCATTACTGCATGGGATGCTGCTGATTATCACTTGTTTGTCTGGCCCAGACTTTAATATGGACACACTGTGGTCATGTAGCTGGTATATAGCTGCCATTATACTGTAATGTACCAGGGTAGATTTGTTTGGAGAATATTATATGAATAGGAGTGTGTTTGAAAGTATTGGTGAACCCAAACAAAAGGTATCATTACTTTCCAGTATCTAAATAGCACTTTTAAACTACTGCATTGATTATGATTACAAAGTACTTACGTCATGGTTACCCAGTGAGGTGTTTCTGACATTTCTATGGCACAGGAAAAACATGGAACCCCTCTGTTGTTCGAAAATGTGCATAAGTACATCTTCCTAATAGTCACACAATTCGGCACCAAGTCTAGATATACTGTGTTGTATTGATATTAACAAGTTTGTCTCCACTGCCCGCAGGACCACCTGAATGACAGGCAAGACGTAGCTCGCATGGCTCATCCTGACAGTTCCTTCGTTGGAAGCCAAGCAGTTGAGTCTCACAAAGAGTCCAGGAAGGGAAAGAAGCGAGTCACATTAGTCATCAACGAAGTCTCTTAACTTCCAGGCTTAGTGTTATTTATGTGCCCAGTGTATTCTGCCCCAAGTGTGAGCATCCCTTCAGCAGTGTGGACCAGTGTGCTAGGACATGTGTGTATCCTGAGAATAGATTGTCCTATGTTTTTGGTTTGCAAAGAAGTCTTAGCTATGTCTGGAAATATTTTACTCGTTGCCATAATTACAACGAAAATTAAGAAAACTGTAAGAAACCTTCTGTAACTTTGTCGAAGTCAAACTCTATTTGTCTTCAATGAGTCACATGATGGACAATCGGTGGTCTCATATCTTAGTGCAACAGTGATGTCACAATGATTATATTGAGGAAATAATTAAGAACACACATAGGTTTGATTGTGACAAGGTGAACATACCTGCCATAACAAGCCATTATCATTAGCACTCTGTTCTGGACTAGTTATCTTCCCATTGTAACATAGGGTAGACATTTGTAAATACCACATCATTGTTGTGTACATATATTTTGTTAAACTGTTATGTCTATGTCTGTTTGTAGTGATATTAATGTTACTGACAATTTATGTCAGGTCATGTACATGACATATATTTATATGAATGTACCTACAATGGTGAATATTTTCTGCATTTATTGATATCTCAGTATGAAAGATCTCATTCAAATATAACATCATGATTCTTTCTTATTTTAATTGACAATTCTTGTGAATATTTTTTATAATGGTGGATATCAGATTCCAAGCAAATGGCATTAACAAGTGAACACTAGCTGTTGTAATGCCTATGGTAATACCAGAAGTATAGTATTTGACTTGAAAATGGGACTAGAATTTACAATTGATTTAATTATTATCAATTTAACATTTTATATGTCTTACATAGGGTATACATAATAACATATTTCTATTAAAATACTTAATAGTGTTTTCATTTGTGTTTTCATTGTCACCAGTTACTAATAAAATACATTTCAGTTACATGGAATATACAAGATATTTCTTTCTAAGACCAACCTTTTTGTTTACTTGGATCACAGACTTATTTCAGTGTAACCCTGCTGTTAGAGGAAGAATTAAGAGAATTGATTATCGTACCAAGAGTGAGTGTAAACACACGCAAGTATTACTTTTGAAACCATTATTTTATACCTTTCTTCATACCACCTTTCTTTACACTATTAACAGGTGTAAAATTACCTGCACAGTACAGTACTTGACCCCTGCATAACAAGAAATATTTAAGTAAACCCTCTTGTCTGTAGCCCCTTGCTTACTGACAAATTACTGTTTGGAATATCTGGATATGATTTAAGGTTAGCACCATTTAGCCATGATTTCTGGATGATTTTACTTGGACAAATCCAGTGTTGAATGAACAGTGTTTCACTGTGTGTGGTCAGCCAACAGGAAAGTGACGTATTTTCTGTTTCTTCTCAACATTATCATAAAATTTGGATCTGTGATCAAAGTATTACCAAAAGTTGGTGTAAGTTTGCCTTTAACTGTAGTATTCAAAGTACAATGCATTGTGAAATGTTATAAAGGACTTCCTCATTGCTATTGACCACACCCATTCCTCCACTGAACCTTTCCCATCCAAACCCCATCACCGAAAGTGCTTTACAGTCTTAACACCAGTTCTGTGATTATGTAGAAGTCTTCCTGCTTGACAGCATCAGGTATAAGTGAGGTATAAAGGCAGCCATTACCGCCATTCTGTTTCATATCAAAACACTAAATGGTGATGATTAAAGCTCCTCTAAACTGCTGTCATCATTAGAGACTTAAAAAATATGCACTTGCATCAGTGGATGAAATTCACTGGTGAAACAAAAGCTTATTACAGGGTATTATGACTTTTTCAAATGGCTGACAAACAGCCATGTTTAAAATCAGTTAATTTCAATTTAAATATACAACTGCAAGCCAGTGCAAGGACCAGGAAAAGTAAGTCACATGGATTTCAACATAATGTTGTAAATGTTTAGGACAGACATCAGTTTAGGGGAGCTAACATTTGCTGACAGTGCTTATTTATACTTGATGCCCCCCCACTTGCCCCTCTCCATGTCAGTATTGCCCAGTCTCTTAAGCATTACCCATCATTTTTGTGATGATTTAATCTTTGTTCTTCCATTGTATTAGACTGGATTAAGTATTTAATGTGGAATAAAACATTGTGAGTGATACATTTAATAATGTTTATATTCTTATTCTTTTCATCTTTTGTGATTATATTCAGGGATTTAAAGAATATTACTTGTTTAATCTATTATTATGTTATATATAAACACAGAGGCACATAGTTAGCTTGGGATGTGGGGTAGCCTTGTGCTGAAAGCAATAACTTTTCATCCTGGAGGCCCAGGTTCACTCTCCACAAAACGTAAAGCCCAATCCTGGTGTCGCCCGCTGTGGTATTACTGGAATATCATTACAAATGGCAGAAAACACAACTCACACAACTGAATGCCAAAAACTCAAATGTACCTCAGATTTTGTTTTTGAAAAAATACTCATGTTTTCTTACTAAATGATGGTAGCTACATACAGTAGGTATTTTGTAAACTTATGACAGCTGTTGCAGGGTGTCAAAAACATGTATTTTGGTGCATCACCCAACATATCCAAAATTGTTGTACTTTTGAATTAATTAAACTCTTGTTCGTATTCAAGTATGTAAGTATGTGCTAAGAAAAGGATTACACATTAAGTTCCCTCATCACATTGGGAGAATTTACTGATACTTGTTGCCAACATACAGTCAATATCAGCTGCTGAGTAATCCAAGATACATCCCTGAAAGCTATTCATGATATTTCATCGACAGTCAAACCATTATTATCTTACACCGAGGAGGACCATGTTTTAACTTTGAAATATGACATTTCAGATAACAAGGTATGGCCACCAACACAGATAAAGTACAGTATTATAGATACATAGAAATACAAAGATCAAAACACTATGAGAGGACATTGAAATAATTATGCAAACAATGATTAATAAAATCTTTGACTAATGATTTACTGTATTCATTTATTACATGTAGAACTGGCCAAAAATGTGCATGCCCCTTGTCAAGCAGGGCACCAATACGAGTCCTGCCATCAGCTGTCCTCTTGACAAAGTGACAGTCTTGTCTCAAGTATATTAATTCACAGCTTGGACATTGTCACATGACAAATGCCAACTTGATGAGGTACACAATTCCGTAGTCAAGTCCAAGGTTCTCGATAGGCCATGTCTTCTTAACTTGAATTTGAGAAAAGTGGACAAATTAATGAATTTGTGTTGAGGCAGTTGACACCTGGAGAATAGGCTTCAGATGTTGGTATATTAGGGGTATACAGGTTCAATGAAACCAGTTTCAGCTGTATGTAAAAAACAAACACATTCATGAAATGCCTACAAAATATAATTATTATTTCTTCTCATGGTAATATTTGACCCACAAACTTTAATCAGTTAGTCTGTTCACATGACTAGTTGAGATCATGTGCCCATCATCCTATGGTCAGCTAGGTGGGGTCTGGCCGTGGGACACAACATCTGTTTACTGTTACTTGACCGCTTTATTCAGGAGTGTAATACACATATAGATAACCTAAAAAAAGTAAGCAACACACACTGTTTTATCAAGTAGAGATTACACAGGTCAAACAGAGAAATCAATGTAATGGAGGTTGAATTAAAACCAAATGTAAATAAATGTCTCATATAACTTCTAACAGCTGTATAAACAAAGCTATCAAATGTATACAATTTTCAGAGTTTTTCAGTATCAAGAACACACCATGGATGGGGGAAATGTTTATCTTCAAATTTAGTTGTAATCATTTACATGTATTACTTTTTAAATTTATTTTGATTTTAGTCTGAGGTTGGATATGCTTCTAATACATATCCTTTGAAATACCCTTGTAAGAAATGTACCTCACATTATTATAAACATACATTATGTGGCTAATCAAACAATTCCATTTTGTTTCTATTAACCAAAACACCTAACATACATGTATTTAGATCTACACTGTGTGCACACCATCTCTTAATTTTCATATCCCCCATAAAAGCAGAAATGATTGAAGTTAATTCTTAAGTGAATTTTGTCACCTTATATGACTGGGTGCCCATTTCAAATTAGTCCAGTTCCAAGGATATAACACAACAGGTTTCCTCAATATCTGTTTGGGACAATGAGTACTTAAACAGACAACGTCAACAGTGTTAACAACAAAATCTCTTTATTCTGAACCAAGATATTTATGGCAAAGATCTACAACTTACAAACATCTCTATACAAATAACACAGTTATAGGGTCAAGCTTTTCCACCTAACAGCCCTGATAGTGTAGCTTATGATACTTGCTGCAACACATAGGTAACAGTGACCAACCACACTGACACATGATACATCCCCGGTACATGTCCGTCCTACTGCAAATACCATGAGGGTGCTGAATGGCAATATTGTAGCACCATATGCTGTTTTGCTGGTTGTTCTCTTAAAATGTCCCAGATTTTAATACTGAATCGCAAGGTATAAAATGTCTTGGGTTAGAAGAAATCCATTTGTCTTGCTATGACTTTAGTTAGGAGAGGATAGTTTGAATCACTAACAAAATAATTTATTAATGCCTTCTTTTACCTATATGAATCATTTTACATCAACCGCTAAATAATCTTATCTCAGAAGAACTATCGCGACCTTCCACTGAGTGTATTCCACAAAGCAATCTTACAGTACCACTGTCATGCCACCATAACTTACCAAAGACAAAGGTAGCTGTGTTGTCTGATTGCTCTGTGGAATGGATCCTGTTCTTCAACTAACAATGAAAACAGTACTTTCATAGATGTAAACAATTCTGGTAACATTGGGAAATAAAATTCTTACACACACTTATTAATTCCTCCCAGAAAACTGTAGTTCTGTATACCAGTCAGTTGACTACAGGTTGTGTAGTCATTGGGACAGAACCTCGTTGTAACTGGAATGGTAAGTACCTACAGCGATTGCAAGGTGGGTATAGACAAATGACGTGGTGGCAACATACACTACTGCACATCACAGGCATGGCCAGTCTACAAGCTGTAGGTGGTACATGGTTTGGGTGAAAATTGTGAAACATAGTGCATGGTCATTTTGAAACTGGGTTATATATCCAGACATTGTACAACATAGATGTGTTACATGCCATTGGGTGAATGTGTCTGTGAGTACATGTATAATGTGATACTGCTTTTAGCAATATTTTAAGTCTCACAACAGCTCCACTGACAGTGACAATGGGCTTCAGACATTGTACCAATCTGAGAGTTGAGCACCAAGTGTTGGCCACGATGAAAGCTAAAACTAGCCAACTACCCAAAAGTACAAAACCTAGGAAGAGAACAGGTACTTCACTTTCAGTATTCTTACACAATGTAACAATCAATGTTCAGTAACGAGTGCAATATCGTTTTCTGTCACATCAGCATTTCTGCAGCTAATCTTACCTAACGGTAAATTTGTTTTTCAGAAATTCATATCATCTGCACTATTTCCGAAAAACTATTTGCTTACCAACCCACATAACTATAAATAATTTGTAATCTTATCATGTGTACTAAATAAAGGATAATAGTAAACTGTCATTCTAACATGGTCATGTCAAACAAGTTAGTGACTAATCACACATAGCCACTAACAACAATGTAACAACTGATCATTAGGCCAGATCAATTAAATCACTTGTGTTACAGACCTGCCTGGCAATGTTAAGACAAGTAACACCAAAAAATGTAAAATAGTCATGTCTAATCACCTTTTATATCAAATTGAACATTTACATTGATATTTTAACAACCATTATTCTCTCATCTGATGCAAAAGGTTATGAATATTTCCGACATAAACTGAAACCCCTAGAAGGAGGGTATGAATTATACACAAGACAAATATGGCAATGTGCAACATTAACATTTTTGTACCCCCCTGCCTGGAGGTATTTGGGAAAGAAAGATCTGTAAACAAGCAATTAAATTTCTTTGGCCTTATTGTTATTATGATTATTATTATAAATAAGTATAAAAGGGAATGCCTCACCTCAAAGCAGCACCTAAAACACACCACAAACATTCGATGCAGAGAAAATGCTAGCCTGATTCTGTTTGGTGAATTATTTGTGATGCCAATGAATCCTATCCTCACACTCCAAGGAAAGCAATAAGCTGTGGTGCCATGTTGAAATGAAAAATAATATAGACAGAAAAGCACCAAATTCCCTTAAGCCTAACTTCTATGAAATCTTCTTGGTTTATAACTAATTCTCAACCTTGTGACATCCAAAACATCTGATTATGGGTAAATGTTATGCTTACCCTGACAAGAACTTATAAAACACATATCTAAAGAATACGTCTTTATTATATTCACATATTTATTAAACATACATGTGGAATCATTGAACATGATTGTAAACAGTTATAGAGGAAAACTAGAGGTGATTTATCAAAGATCTTTTTCAGTCCCTGTGAAACAAGGTTCATGGACACTGAGTTGTGACCTCAATACAACCGGCCAAGCAAACATCACTCTACCGCACGTTTAACAAGAATAAAATACAACACAATTGCACTGCTAGGTAACAGAATTACATGACACCCAAACACTTTCACTAATGTGGGTGGATACATATTGGAAGGTGAAAAAATATGATACAATTCTCATCTGAAGTATAAAAATTGGTTCTGCCCGCAGAACCACCAAATCTTTAAACAGCTTCAATGACTGCTGTAACACAGAGATATGCTTATAATATTTACAGACAGCACAAAAATCTAAACTTGACATCATGTACAAACTGGCATTTCAGAATTACTTCATTTTTATTGATTACAGTCCTTGTCAAACTTGTCATATATCATACACTTCTTAGGGCAAAATATGTAAATGTGATTCTGTAAACATATTATTTCATTAGTTTAGATAAAAAAAATACAACCACTAGTTCATAGTTTCAATCATTTTGGGGTATTAATTGATTACAATAATCTGTAAAACAAGAAATACTTTTACATTTTTTACAAAATATGCTAGAAGTTGTTGTTGACTGATGCCCAATACAAAACATGTTTTGTATTTCCCTGACTGAAATACACAGCATCGCCACTTCCATATTACATGTGTTACATACATTCTCCT